CTGAGGTCTGGCTTCAGAAGGTCACGGAGGATGGTGCACAGGATGGAGCAGAGCGACAGCGGCGTCACCCAGGGGCAGGCGGGGGGCTGGGAGCCCAGGAGGACGCCTGTCCCAGACAGGCCGGGGTGCGGGGAGGGTCCTGCGCTGTGAGCTTGTCCCCGAGCGGCCCGAGGGTGCTGTGCAAGGGAAGACTCTGCAGGACGGCCACAAGTGTCACTGTAGGAGCAGTCGGGACACAGGCCAGGGGAGAGGAGAGGGCTCCTTGGAGGGCCCGCGGGAGGGAGAGACCGCACCGTCTCCATCCGCACAGCTGACCGCACTTCCACACGCTGCCCTCGGCTTTGCCTCTCACACTCGCTCTGGCTTCTGTACCATCGTCTCCCCTCGCCAAGGTCCGGAGCCCCCAGACCCTCCCAGCACCCCGGGAACCCACCCTGAGCTCCAGCTGCCACAGGCTGCGCCTGACCGAGGGCACCCGGCCGCCTGGGCGTGGCTGGGCACCACGCCTGCCGATGGCCAGGTTGTCGCCATGCCCAGTGGGCCGGGGACCCTGCTCTGCCCCCTCCCCACAGACTGCACGGTGTCCTCCTCTGTCGTCGTCCTCCTCCTTCTCCTCCTCCTCCTCGGAGCTCTTGCTCTCTCACGCCCTGCTGGCCCACCCCGGAAAGCGAAGTGTGCGGCCGTCCCTCCCGTAACACACGAGGAGGGAGTCTCAGTGGCGTGACTTCATGTCAGAGGCTCCATAGGGTTTTCCTCAAGCTCTGGGAACCTTTCAGGAAACTGCTGTGTCTCAGGTTGACAAACCGAGGGCCCGAGCTCCGCTGCGTCTCGCTGCCTGTCTTGTAATGAGGGTTTGTCAGAGTGTGGCCAAGACCGCAGGGCACAGCGGTCATGACGCAGATCCCAGGACGCACAGAGCTGGAAGCACTGGCAGCGCTTCCTGGGAAACGTAGCTGATCCCACCTCAGTTTAAAGCTTGGAATCTGATTTGCTTTAAATTTAGCACTTGGAGTCCGACTGTTAAGTTTCCATTATACCCTGGGGTACCCGTCTTTGGGAATGCCCTGGTGGCTGTGGCTGGCACATCCTGAGGAGAGTGTCGGGGGTCCCTGCAGTCTGAGGGGCTCCACAGACTCCCTCGGGGTCAGTGGTTTGTGGAAGAACTCAGAAAAGCCCTGAGGCTCGCAGTTCGCTACGGCGAAGGCATGTGGGCCAGGATCGCAAGGCCCAGAGGCCCAGTGCTGGCCCCCAGTGTCCTCTCCCAGAAGCGTGCGGCCGCACCCCGAGTACTGCTGACCAGGATGTTTGCTGGGCCTGGGGTCCGGCTCACGCAGGTGTGGTTGGCCTTGGGGACTTGTGTCCAGCCCCTCAGAGTCCAGCTGATGCCCTGTGGAGCGGGACGTTGTCAGTGTGGACTCCAGTGTGGCCTGACGCTGCTGTGGTCACCGCCAGGGTATCCCGAGGGCCTAAAGGTCATTGCGGAGGGGCAGGGCCCGGCCAGCCCTTCCTTTGGGACAGGCAGGGTACGGACAACCCAGGCTGCTCAGTTAATTCTTTACCGTGTTTTTCCTCCTGGGCAGGGCTCCCTGGTGAGGGATTGCAGCATAATACCAGGTCCTGCTTTGGCTTGACCTTCACCCGGCCGTGGGCACCTGGACAGCCTTCCACACGCCCTGTGCCCTCTGCCTGGTGCCTACTCCAGGGCGGGCCTAGGCATCTGTGTTTTCAGGTGTAGCCCTGCAGGCTCGATGCTGAGGCAGGGTTAAGGGGCACTGGGCAAGGCTCGGAGCAGCCCTGTGGGTACAGCAGGGAGCCGCACCCTGGGAAGGCGCAGAAGGAGCAGCCGGGGTTCCCGGACAACGGGAAAAGACCCGGCACTGGCACTGAGCCTGGGAGGACCTCGGGCAGGAGCAGGCCGTCCACCTGGTTAGGGGAAAGAACTCCACGCCGTGAGAGGGAAGGCGGGACGCACGGGGAGTCGGGCCAAACCTCCAGGCCCTCAGCGTGCTGGGCGTGGTCAGCGGGTACCGATCATCTGCAGAGGTTTCGTGCAGGGCTTGTCTCGCTTGCTTCCAGCTGTGCTGAGGAGAAACCAGGTCCTTGGCCCCGTGGGTCAGACTGCAAGGGTGATGGACATGTGTGTACTAGTCCATTCTGTTGCTGGTAACAGTGCCACAGACTGGGCGTGTTATAAAGAGGCCCAAGATTAGGCCCTTTTTAGTGGTGGCCTCCGTGGCAGGGTCCTGGTGGTGCAGGGCATCACGTGGCAAGAGACAGGCAGCACGTGTACATACTCTGTCACTGTGGGTCTTTCTCTCTCATGAAGCCACCAGGGTTCTGTCGTGGGGGCTTCACCCTGATGACCTTATCCAATCCCAAAAGTCCTGCCTGTAAACACCATGGTCACCCTAAGCGTCCCCCCTCTTAGGACCTCAGGCTGCACTTCAGGCTGGGTGTGGCGATGCAGACCGGTAATCCCTACACTTGGGGAAGCTGAGGCATTGCAGTTTCAATCCAGCCTGGGCAACTCAGCAACTTAGTGAGCCCCCATCTCAAAATGAAAAAGTGACAAAGGGATGTGAAGCTCTGTGTGAAGACCCTGAGTTCAGTCTCCAGTGTCAAAAGGACACAAACCAAAGATTGTACTTCTGCGTGAGTTTCAAGGGTGGATGGTATGGCTCAAGATTGGCTGTGGACGGGGTGCCAGTGCTGGCTGCAGGGCAGAATCACCTGGCAGCTTTGAGGATCCCAGATGTGTGCTCTTAGTCCATGAGTATGAAGTTCAAACAAATGCAACATCAAGAATGTGTGAGGAGGGCCGGGGATACAGCTCAGCAGCATAAGCGCCTGCCTGGCAAGCACAAGGTCCTGAGTTCAATTTCTGGTACCAAAAAGAAAAAGAAAGTGTGAGGAGCTCTGAGCACACAGTGATACAACAATTTAGAAATAAGTCCAAAAAACCTGCAGACATTTCACCAAAGAAGTAAACTCACGAGTGAAAGGAGGCTTGATACACCTGGTCAGCAGGGTGATAGAAATTAAAAGCTCATCGAGACCCCATTATGTACCAGCGAGAAGGGTGAAAGCCAGGCTAGCCACGCAGTGTTGACAGATGTGAGCAGCGGGGCTCGCACAGCTGCCGGGGACCTGAGGGGACACAGCCTCTCTGGAAGGCAGGTTTACAGTGTCCTGCCTACTCTCCTTGCTGGGACACAATACCCAGCAGCCACAGTTCAAGGAGGAAAGGTATTTTGGCTCAGTGTGTAGAGGGTTCAGTCCATAGTTGTCTGGCTCTAAGGCAGGGTGGCATGGCAGAGGAGAAGCAGTCCATGGCAGGGCAGGCAGGAAGCAGCGAGGGATCAAGGGAGGAGGAGGAAGCAGACCCTTCTGGGCCACACCCCCGGGGATCACCTCATCCCAACATCACACTCAGTTTTAAACCCATCAGTGGACTCATCCTCACTTACAGGTATCACTCACTCCCCTGTGATCCAGTCATCTGCCAAAGCCCCTTCTATGAATGCTTGAGGCTTTTGGGGGGGGACATCTAGAGGTAAACCATAACATGCTATTTCTTATAAAGTTTATTTATTAAGAAATTTCCCACGTTTGTGGGAATGTTCTTTCATGATGGTGGGAGTGGTTCACACAGACATATATATTTGTCAGAACTCATTTGTACACAAAAAAATGGTAGATTTTATTGTGTACAAATTATACACCAGTAGATCTGACAGAAAAGAAAGCAGAGTTCATCTTCAGGGGCAGTGGTGACTCGTGGTCCCCAGCAAGTGAATGACCGCAGGAAGGACAAGGAGGCTTAGACCCTAAGTCACTCACCCAGCACAGACTCGGGCATCCCAGGAGGGGCCAGCCTCCACCCCTGGGCTCTGGGGTGTGCAGAGCTCTCTCCCCGGGGCAGAGAGAGGTAGAGAGGAGAGCATCGTGGGAAGATGTCCCAGGGAAGCAGGACTCGTCCTGTGGGTTATTCTCTGTGGAATCAGAATGAGCCGGGTTCAGACAATATCCTGCAACAGTGAGGTAGCGAGAGCTCAGGCAGGTGGCGTGGAGGACAGCCATGGACCTGTAGGTGGTGGGGTCTGAAGGCCAGGTCTCTCCTGTGTCTGCAGAGCTCTTTCCTCTGCCAGTGGGGGTAAAGGGCCAGGGGAGGGATGAAGTCCATCCTCGTCCATCCCCTGGATTCTAAGACCTGGATTCTAAGTTTCTCCAACTCAGCAGGTCGAAATAACACACTCTGTGGGTGTCATTTTGTAAACCCAGCCGTGGGTCACCACAGAAGGGTGTATCTGTGGAAAGATGCCTGGAGCTGCACACTCAGGATTTATACATTTTTGTACATTACACCTCAATTTTTTTGAGACTGTCTCACTACATAATTTAGGCTGGCTGCAAGCTTTTGGTGATCCAAAAGCTTTTCCTGCCTCAGCCTCCCAAATGTTAGCATTGCAGATGTGCACCACTATATCCCACTGACACCTTAGTTCTAAAAGAAACAGACATAGCAATGCCTTATGGGGTGTGGTGGCACACAGTGGGAGGCTGAGGCAGGAAAATCAAAAGTTTGGACTCAGCCTGGGTAACTTAGCAAGACCCTGTCTGCAAATAAAAAATTAAAACAGGGCTGGGGATGCACAGTAGAAAGGCCCTGGGTTCAACCCCTAATACCAAAGAAAAGGAAGAAGAAGAAAAAGAACAAACAAATAACGATGCCTGAGCCCTGTTCCTAGACACGGGGATTTAGTTGGTCTGGGGCTGACGTAGGCACAGTTCTATCGTCAGGGCTCCGGGGACCCTGATGCTCCACAGATTAGACAGCGCTCATCGCGGTCACAGTGGTGGGGAGCGTGCTGGCGCCACCTGCAGGCTGTGGCCTGTGCCGGCACGGGTTGGGGGCTCTCAGGTCCCTGCGAGGCGGTTGAGGTGTGCAGAGCCGGCCGTGGCGCCCCAGCCGTGTGCTCCAGCCCCTGTCCCGCTCCCAGGGCGATCGCGATGGCCGCAGACCAGGCCTCGCAGGACACCATGCGGCTGCAGTTCAAGGCGATGCAGGAGCTGCAGCACCGCAGGCTGCAGAAGCAGATGGAGGCGAAGAGGGACAAGAGCCTGCGCCTGCAGAGCGACACTGGCGACCAGGAAGCGCCCTCGGGAGTCCCCGACGGCCTCAGCCTCCTCCTCTCGGGGGAGCAGGACTTGCAGAGCGTCTTCCAGCAGAGGTAAGGAGGCTGACCCAGGGGCCGCGGGCAGGTGGAGGGTCGCGGGCAGGTGGAGTCGGGGGTTGCGGGGGGAGTGACCAAGGACATGAGCAGGTATGGATGCACCGGTCAAAGTGGTTTTTGCACAGAGGTTCTTAAAAACTCTCGGACCTGCTGGAGCCATGTGCCTGAAGGCAAAATTTGAGGCGAAACCTACCTGAAAACCGTCTGGAGTCGACTTGAATATTTAAAAGCTCCTCAGGGTATATTTTAGCCCCTGGCTTTATTATTTGACTAACTGATCGATTACTTGTTTGATTGATTGACTGCAGTATGGGGGGTTGAACCCAGGGCTTTTGCACTGAGCTACATCCCCATTCATTCATTCATTCATTTGCATTTTGAGACAGCATCTGGCTAAGTTGCTAAGTTGCCCATGCTGGGCTGGAACTTGTGAGCCTCCTGCCTCAGCTTCCCAGAGTGCTGGGATCACAGGTCGGCACCACCACACCTGGCTTTATCAACAGATTTTTTTCCGTCTGTCTGTCATGAGAATTATATCTATGTCTCTGAGGAGCTGGCTCACAGATAATCATTGCTCCAAATCCGTCTGGGGCCATCCTCCGTGGCCAGCTTTCTCTCCTGTTGTGGAAACGCGCTGCTCCGGCTAATCTCCGCCCCTTCACAGCTGGTGGATGAGTTGAAAGTACGCGGGGTCTTCTCAGTGAGCTCTGACCTGACAGTCCACACAGAGCAGGAGGTCTACACCGCTTACAGAGGCAGGGGCTGCCGGCCCCTCTGCCAGACACACACCACCGCTGCTGAGCTGTCTCTCTGCTTCTGCTTTCATCTGGGATATCTCTTCCATCTTCAAATTCAATTTTTTTATCACCTTCAAATTCTACCTTTTTGTAGATTCTCAGTTTTCAAAATGACCACCTTTAAAATGCCAATTGGAAAAAATAAACATTTCCAATAAGTGAAGTTTTAAAAAAATCATATGGCTTCTAAATGTCAGCTCTCAGTCATCCCCAGACAGGTTTCCGAGTGGCCCCTCCCCAGAGCAGGAGGCTGGGGCGGGCGGAGACCGGAGCCTTTGCTGGAACGGCAGCAGCCACAGTGGCGATGGTAACCACGGCTGTTGCCCGCAAAGTTCTCGCTTCTTCAGTAGCTCCTCCGCTCCGTGCCTGACACACCAGTGAGCGCTGCTCACGGTTTCGTGAGCTCGAGGGCTCCGGGAAGAGCCTCCCGGGACAGCTGGGACCCACAGGAGCGGCCGCCCCTTCCTGCATGCATTGGCACCCTGGAAACCGAGCCTCGACTTAAGGCTTACAAACATCACTCTGGTCTGCCTCTGTGTGTGTGTGTGTGTGTGTGTGTGTGTGTGTGTGTGTGTGTACGCGCGCGCGCGCATGCACGCATGCTTGTGCTGCCGAAGCTGTGTCAGAACTTGTGAAATTCGGCTGTAATTAAGGCTGTGAATCGCCTGTGTCTCATGAGTCCGACAGCCTCGGGGGCCAGCCCCCTCTGAGGGCTTCCTCGTGTTCTTACGATTTCTTCTTTACCAGCAGATTATTTAGGAGCTCGCTTTCTAAGTTCCACATGTATGATGGCCTTTGGGCTTTGTTTTTACTTTTGTTTTACTTTTCGATTTATTTTTGTGGTGTGTCCTGAGACAGACTCTCATTACAGTCCAGGCTGGCCTTGAACTCACTGTGAAGCCCAGGCTGGCCTCCAACTCCCGTCCTCCTTCCTCAGCCTCCAGAGTGCAGGGGTTACAGCATGTGCCGCCATGCCCAGTTTATTTTTTGCTACTTTTAAAGCATTGACTCCTGATTTTTGTCAACTGCTGTCAAGAAAGTGGTCTGTATTAATGAAAGATCTCTCTTTGGGGATGGGCTGGCGGCCCGTTCTGATGTGATCTCATGGCCATGTGAGCACGCTTTCTCCAAGTCAGGGTTTTGCAGTAGACTCCTTGGAGCCAGCTGCTGAGCCTTGCTGCTCCAACCTCCTTTCCTCCTTGCCTGTGTGGTGCACACCCGTCACTCACTCCGCCCTGGGAAGCTGGTCTCTGCCCTCAGTTGCCCCACTTTGTGTGCAAGCCGGTCCTTACCCCACCGGGTGCCCAGCGAGGCCTGTGGGCCAGCGGGAGGCCCGAGCCCCGAGCCCCCCACCCTTGCCTTGCAGGGTGCTCGAGGATGAGGTCCAGCAGCTGCGTGAGGAGCTGCGGGAGACGGGGGACGAGAACGGGCGGCTGTATAAGCTGCTGAAGGAGAGGGACTTTGAAATCAAGCACCTCAAAAAGAAAATAGAAGAGGACAGATTTGCCTTCGCAGGTAGCAACGCCACCCGGCCCGGCCCTTCCCTGGAGTCCAGGGCTCGGCCTGGTTGCCATGCTGGCACCAGAGGCTGGGTGCCCCAGAGGCGGCACCAAGGGTCGGCTGTGGTCACGTGTCCAGCTGCGTCCTGGAAGGGAGGGGAAGGGGGAGGGCGAAAGCGGGAAACGGGCACAGGGAGGGTGGCGACAGGTGGCCGTGGGCAGGTTCCCCGCAGCAGGGTAGCTCAGCTGGACTTGGGCCGGCTCCATGTCATGCTCACAGCGTGGTCAGCAGCTAGATGAAGGAAGGGTCCACTCCTCCTTGGTGCCCTGGCTCGGTGCTGTGTCGTGGACATCACAGGTGGAGCAGAGTCGGGCACCAACCCTGCAGCTCCCGCTGCCCTCCAGGGGCTACGGTGGGTGAGGACCTAGGTTGACCTCAGCTCTCTGGTTATGAATCTGACCTTGACCCTGCAGAGGACCGAGCCGGGACCCCGGCCTGACTGTGCTCCACTCCTTGTGCTAATCTGGAGCATTTCCCAGGGCACCCGACAAGCCAGCAGGTAGTGGTCGCCGTCCGCAGGGCCACAGGGCTGCCCGCGCCCTCCACCACATCCTCCCTGTGCACACCCGAGGCCTGGCAGGTCAGAGCCGTGCTGGAGCACACGAGGGGCTTGGTGTCCCACAGCCCCGGCGGCCTCGTGCACCGCCCTGCTCTCTTCTGATTTGAGGATCAGCTGAGGTGCAGCTACAGTGTGGCAGGCTGTGGGGAAGCCGCAGCTCCAGGGGGAGCGGGGATCTGGCCCCACTCGTGCAGCCAGCCTGGGAGGTGGCACAGCTGCCCCGCTGTTTCCTGCTCTGCCGCTCTGCCAGCTCAGACCTGGGGGTGGCCTGGCTGGATTGCAGCCCCAAGTCTTCCTGCAGACTGCTTAAATCCGGTCTGCGCCCTGAAGTCACGGCCACTGGTTTCTAACTTCTCGGGGGCTTGTTTGTTTGCTTGTTCATTGTTGGAGTTTCTGTGTGTTTCGCTGGTTGGCCAATTGGTTTGTGGTACTGGGGATTGAACCCAGGACCTTCACACTGAGGCACATCCCCAGCCCGTTTGTTTGTTGTTCATATTTTGAGACAGGGTCGCACTAATTCACTAAATTGTCCAGGCTGGGCTCAAACTTGTGATCCTCCTGCCTCAGCCTCTCAGAGTGCTGGAATTGTAGGTGTGTCCCATGCCTGGCCAGTCTCACATTTCAGAGAGGAAAGTTCCACTGACCTCATTTAGCTTTTAAGCCAGGCCATAAGTGACAGGCTACTGACAGCTGATGGACCATTTTCCTTTGGCCTGATTTGTAGTGAGTGCTTTAGTGATTACAAAAGCATTTAACTTTTTGCAGTCTATTAGAATTAGTATCTCTCCATATCAAGTGGAAAGTAGCAACTTAGAGGGCTGTACACCCTCCCATTGGTGTGTTGCAGCTTTTATATACATTATACCAGGTTTACTGAAAACCTTATCAGCAGTATAGGCTTTTCCGACAACCATTACACACATTTTAGAGAGCTTAAGGAGACAGAAACAGTCTTCCCTGGATACCGGAGCTTCAGGGCTTTCCCCATGCTGCCCCATTTATCAGGGAGGCCGCAGCCTCAGGGCTGTGTTGGATGCACTGGGGGACAGGGGACAAGGAGAGGTCCGTGGCTCGGGCCCCCTGCTGTCTCTACTAAAGACAGCTTCTCCTGGCCTGTTGCTGAGGGCTGGCTGCAGGACCTGCTCAGTTCCCGAGTCCTGGGAGGAAACTGTAACCTAGGAAACTCAGCTCCAGATCATTTGTACTTCCAGGTCTGGTCTCCTCCCAAATCTGCTTGCTTGTCTTAGCTTCTGGTCCCTGGGGCACAATACCCAACATCCGTAATTTAAAGGAGGAGAGGCTTAACCTGCCTCCTGGTTCAGGGGGTTCCGTCCATGGTCGGCTGGCTCCATGGCAGGAACGTCATGGTGGAAGGGGCTGGTGGAGGAAATCGGCTCACCTCATGGTGGCCAGGAAGCAGAGGGAGAACAGAGGAGGGAGACAGACTCGCCCAAAGGCCCCCGCAGTGCCCACCTCCAACCAGGCCCCGCCTCCTCACGGCACACTCGCCATAAACTCATCAGTAGATCCATCCACTGGAGAGCGCAGTGCCCCAGGTCCAGTCACCTCCCACTCACAGACGTCTGAGGGATGTTCTAGGTCTAAACAGTCGTTTGCTTCCAGAATCCTCACCTCTCTTCTTCACACATTCTGTCCTGGGGTTTGGGGTCCTCAGGGAACAACAGGGTAACACATGCCTCCTCCACCCTAGCAGAGCCAGAGCTTCTACTGAGAATGCATTTCTTCAACTGCTAGATTGGTGATGGCCCCAGTGACCTTCCAACATCCCTCCCTGTCCATGGCATGAGGCAGGACCAGGGAGCCAGCGTGCCCTCCTGGCGCAGGGGGTGCCTGTCCCCTCCAGACCCCCAGTGCCCCCAGCCTGTTCTGAGCCCTCGCCCTTGATGTGTCCTTGTCCTCTTCAGCACCTGTGAGGTCCTCCTCCCAGCTGCCTCCCGTGGCCCAGCCCACCCAGGGCAGGAGCCCTGTTGGAGGTTTGGAAGCTCCTGAGTCTGCATGATCTCTCCTCCGCCGTGCCCTCTGCCCTGTTCCGAGGTGTGGTGTGGCCCCAGTAGAAAACAGGACACGAAGGTGTCTGTGCCGGAGTGTGGGCTGGAGTGTCAGAAGCTTGGACCGACCAAGAGCCACCTCCCCGTCCTTGTCCCCAGCCACGACTTGACCACCCTTCGCTGAGCGCCCTGTGCCCCAGCTCCCCCAGCCTCCTCTGATTCTCAGAATTTCCCACCCAGCCCTGCCTCTGGAGCGCTGCCCTCTGTGGAGCTCCTCTGACAGCCCCGTCCTGGCTCTGCCCTCCCCTTGTTCCCAGGCTCCATGCACAAGCTCCCTCTTCAGGGAGACCACTCAGGCCCTGCACCAGGAGCAGCGAGGGGACCCAGCCCTCTCCGCCCTGGCGGCCTCACTTCACTCCACAGCTGACGCCTTCACGTGCTCCGCGCAGCTTCACTGCTTGGTCTTCCTGACACGTCTTCTCTGCTTGAGTGCAGACTCTGGGAGCCACTTTCCCCATGCTGGGCAGAAACTCAATAAACACTTCCTGCATGAGTGTGTGCGTCTGGAGTGGTTAGGTGCCACCACAGAAGTCCACGGAAGAAACAGCCACATCATCGCAGTGGCTTCCGGCAATGGGCATTCACTCAACTCAGACCTTAGGCCAGGCGTGGTGGCGCACTCCTGCAATCCCAGCACTCAGGAGGCTGAGACAGGAGGATCGTTGCAAGTTGAAGGCCAGCCTGGGCTACAAAGTAAGATCAAGGCCAGTCTGAACTGCATAGCGTAAACCCTGTCTCAAAAAGAAAAAAAAAAGACTTAAAACCTCAGATGTTCGCTCTCAGTGGGGTCTGCTAAGCTCGGCCAGGCGGGCTGGGGCAGCTCAGCTTGCCCCCATCCCTCTCCTTCAGGGACTGGCCGGCCAGCCGGGTCCTGCTCACGTGCAGATGGTGCAAGTGGTCAGAGCAGTTTGAGGAGTGCTCTTCACGCCCCTTTCTGCCCCCGGGGCTCCTGGGTGCGCGGGGCTCTGAGCCTCTGTGCCGCGTGCCTGCCATCCTAGCACCTTGCCCTTTAGAGCCCGGCCCTGTTGCTGCTGGCCGGAGAGTGGCACGTGGGTCTCCTTTCTCCTGACTTTGCCATTCCCCTCTTAGGGACAGCCGGCCCCGCGGGAGACCTGGTTGCCACCAAAGTCGTGGAGCTGTCCAAAAGGAACCGCGTGCTGGCAGTGGAGTCGGAGGGCGCGAGAGCCCGGGCGAAGCAGCTGAGTGGTCGCGTCCAGGAGCTGGAGCGGGAGGTGAGGGCCTTGCTGGTCCTTCCTGGGGGCGGACCCCGAGCACCCAGGGCCAGCGTGGTGGATGTTACAGGCCTCCGGAGGGCTCGACAGCCGGTGCGGCTCAGTCTGTCGCCTCCGGGGCCCAGCGTAGCAGGCTGCACAGGACCTGGGTCACTGAGTAGCAACTGGGAGCCAGTCACTGCCCTTGGCACTAAGTGGAGGCTTCTCTATTCTATGGCACAGTTTTGTGTTTTGTGGGTTTTTTGTGGGGGGTGGTGTTTGGTGTTTGGTGTTTGGTGTTTGGTTTTGTTGATTCTTGAGACAGGATCTGGCTATGCCGTTCAGGTGGCCTGGAACTCACAGCGATCCTCCTGCCTCAGCCTCCTGAGTGCTGAGATTACAGGGATGTGCCACCACACCCAGCAGTGGTACAGTTTTTTGAGAAATATCCCCGGTGCTGAGCCAGGCCCTCCGGGAGAGGCAGGAGTCAACATAGCCATGGGTGGCTCGGCCTTCCCAGAGACAGAGCAACATGGGCTTGCAGTGTGGCTGTCACCCCAGACAGAGGAGAGGGCAGCAGACGACAGGGCAGCAGCCAGGGCCGGGGAGCTGCCTGGGGTGCCAGGGCAGGGTGCAGAGTGGTCCAGCAGGTGCCAAAGCCCTGAGCAGGGACAGAGCCCGAAGGCGGCTGATGTGGTCCAGAGCGGCACAGACTGGCGCTGGAGGGGTGGAGGGTGGGTCCCATCCCCCTCGTCAGACAGGGCCAGGGCCTTGGTGTGAGGCACGTCGGGAGGTTGTTGAAGACTCCGTGTATCTGGCACCCTGTGTTCCGGGCACCCTGTGTCCCTGGCCCCTTGTCTCACCGTGTCCCCAGGCCCACAAGTCCTGCACGCTCCGCTCCTGAGCTGGGTTAGGGCTCGGCACCATTATCTGCGAAGCAGCTGGTGAAGCCCAGTGCGTGGGGAGAGGGCAGCAGTCTATAACAGAGAAGCTCCCACTCGTGCCTCTAAGGCAGCTGAAAGGAGAGACACCCCGCGGGTTTGTAACCACACACCCCACGCACCAGGGCGCTTTGGTTGGGCCATGCAGCACTGAGCAGAATTAAATATTAAGGACAAGGTTTGCTTTTTCAGCTGCAGACGGCCCTGGCCAGGCTGCCAGCCAAGGGGGCCGCAGATGCAGAAGCCAAGCCGCCGAGGCCCCTGATGGGAGATGGCACCTTGGTATGGACCCTGCCTGTGCTGGGGGCTGTGGGGCTGTGTGGGCCTGGTCCCCTCCTCCTCCTTCTCCTCCTCCCGCCCGCCCCCTCCTGTGTGGAAGGCCAGGAGGCCCCAGCAGAGGCCAGAAGGGTCAGTTCTGATTCAGTCCCCAGGAAGAGTGGCCTTGAGGGGCTGAGGCCTCGGGAACCCTATGACAACTGAGGGCCTTCCGCTTGCACCTGGCCACTGCCTGCAGGGCCCCATTGCCTTACCCTGACCCAGCTCTCCACCCCAGGGCACCCTCTGTGGGTGGCTCACCCTGTCTGCAGCAGTAGGAAGGCATTGTGGGGAGCAGTGTGCTCCCCGGACCCTATACCAAGCCAGGGAGGGGCCTTGCGGCCTTGCAAAAGCTGGTGTCTCAGCTCAACCTGGACCCACAAAGTCTGGGCGTCAGGAGGGTCCCAGGAGACCGGGCCAATGGGGGACCAAGGGAGCACTCCAATTCTGGCCATCTCAGGGTCAGGCCACCTGAGAACTGGGCCCAACCTACAGGGCCTACCCTCAGGCTGAGGCAGTGGCCTCTCTTTTCTGGGGGACAGCAGAAGGCTGTCCTGGGGCAGGCGCTGGACTGGGGGTCGTCAGGGACTCTCCTGGCCATGTTGCCCGAGGTTACCCCACTGCAGCGGCCTGGAGGGATGGGAAGTGCTTCAGCCACAGGGAGGTGATGGCATTTTCTGAGCGCACTGATGGAGGACATTGAGCAGGGCCCTGGTCCACGGTGTCCAGGAGGAAGAGGGGTGGGCACGAGGAGAAGGGGGTAGCAGCCTTCAGAGGGCGCGGGTTCAGGGCTCACCAGCGCTGGGGCATCCGTCACCTGCACCTTCCTGGAGAGGGGGACCAGACAGAGACCTCTGGAAGGAGCCACGGGCCGAGCACGGAGGTGGGAGCTCTGAGAGTCCCGTGCAGCTTGCTGGTGGCAGCGGGAGGGGACGTGAGCTGGAGCGGCGGTGCCAGGGGGACCACGCAGGGCGGTTCTGACAGGAGAGTGTGTCGAGCGCCCTGTGTCTTCCCACTTCTGATCGGAGCCAGACAAAAGCGACATCCGGTCAGGAGGCTGCTGGAGCTGAGCCAGGGCCCGTGCTGCATCCGGATTCTGGTTCTGCCCCGCCTGGAGCACGTTCCAGAGCAGAGCTCCAGGGAGAGTGTGGGCGGCGTTGGCATTGCTCGAGTGATTCCCTCAAAGAAAACAGCCATGTGTGGGGTGGGGTTTGTGTCCAGGCCCCCCAGGAACAGAATTCCACTCTGGGCAGGCAGAGCTCGGGAATGGAGGCAAGGTGGGGGCCCCACTGCCAGGCCAGAGGGATAGGGGCCCAGTGCAGCTGTCTCCAGAATGCCATCGCTGCAGAGACCCGGGCCTGGCAGCGCCCTGAGTTGGAACCCGCCCCCAGCAGCACACTTGGGCCCAGGAGCCCCGTCCTCTCTCCAGGAGCCCCAAGATGCACGTTACTGGCCGCTCCTTTACAGACGAGTGGGCGCGGCTCGGAGGGGCCTGGGTGCTCGGCCAGAGCCAGCTCTGTGCCCCTGCCAGGCACTGCCCACCACGAAGGCACTGCTGTGCTGGCACCCACAGACGAAGCGCTCACAGGCCTCACCCTGGCCGACGCAAAGCCTGCCATCTACCTGGAGGGAAGACGGGAGCCCCCGTGGGGAGAGGGTGGCAGGCAGCCGAAGGGCAGAAGGACTCACAAACAGTTTTCAAAGGGTTTACTTGCATTTCCTGTAAGTTCCCAGCGCGCAAGCTTTGCTCGGGAGGCGCTTGTTCCGCTCCGTGGGGGGCGGTGCAGCGAGGAAGCAGCCGGGAAACATTTGATACAGGAAGCTCTCGCTCGCTCGCTGCGCTGCACTCGGGGCTTCTGGGCCAAGGGTCCAGGGCCAGTTTCTTTGGCCACTGGTTTTCAGGGAGGCTGCCCGGAGCCTCTGGCGCCCGTGGAACACCGCACACGGCCCCCCTGGACCACCTTCTATCCTGGCATCCACGGGGGAGGATAGAAAACCACTGCGGCCCCCACCTGCCTCCCTGGGGTGCTGCCGCCTGGGCGTGGGGCAGGGCCGGGAGGAGCCCGGGTCACTGTGGCGGGAAGCCCAGAGCAGCAGCTGCTTACACGGGGAAAGTCACCAGGGCTGGAAGGACCGGGCTCCTGTCCTAGGGCGTCACCTCCGCACCGTTGCGAGCCGAGGGCAGGCACTGCCCGTTGTGTTCGTGATGTCCGGGAGGGGCCTGGGTGGGGTCGGGAGAGTCTGGCAAAGACAGCAGCCGTCAGCACATCGCAGAACAGAGAGGCAAACACTGCAAATCTGCATCGAATGTTGCTTTCTTTTATTTATTTTCTCTCCCCCTCAAATGTTATTTTAAAAAATAAGAAAACAAGCCAAGGCCAGCAGGCAGTCTTCATGACTGCGATAGTTCTTCAGGCCACAGAGGTGGCGGGTTCAGGGATTATGCTTGGGCCTTATTCCTGTTCAGGCCCCAAAAGCAAGCCCGCAGTGGGCGGCTCCCGGAGACGAGGCCAGGCCCACGTTTGATTCCAGGAGAGGGAGGCCTCGGTGGGGAGGTTGTGGTCCTTGTGCAAATGACAGAGGCCACACCCAGGGGCCCTGGCCGTGTGGAGCCTGCAGCCATCCGTGCGGACAGCACTCTGCGCAAGGCCTCTGCCCGCACTCGGCTGCCGCGGTTCAGCCCAGGCGCCCCCTTTACCAGCAGGTGGTCAGCCAGGGGCTTCCCTCCCAGGACCCCCCAGCGGTTCATGAGGATGGAAAACAGTGCCAGGCTTTGCTTGGAAACGTGGAGGCTGCGGCTCTCACAACTTCAGGTGACAAGTGAGCGGTCTTCTTGTCCCTCCAACCAGCCAGAGACCCCCGAGGTGAAGGCCCTGCAGGACCGGCTGGCGGCCACGAACCTGAAGATGAGTGACCTACGAAACCAGGTCCAGGCCATGAAGCAGGAGCTCCGAGCGGCCCAGAAGGTCCTTCAGCTGGGGATATAGCTCAGCGGCTCTAGCGCCTGCCCAGCCGGGCTGGGCTCGCGTGGCTGGGGCAGCTCGGGCTGACACAGCTGCAGGACGGTCATTCCTGGGTCCCACCCCAGCCCGAGGGCTGCATAGGGACCACATCAGTGCCAGGTGGTGCCCACCCTCCTGGGCTGAGGAGGACAGCTCCGCCCACCCAGGGAGGGCTCTTCAAGCCAGCCCGTGCATTCGCACACCCCGGTGGTCCTGGGTCTGCACTTTGACTGGGAAGCTGGCCAGGACCGGCCTCCCTCCCACTGTCCGCCGTAGTGTCACCACATGGACAGGCAGTGTGTGTGTTCAAGGCCCCTTCAAAGGGAATGCTCAGGCCTGTGGCCCAGGCCCATGGGTTCGTTATTTATTTCTATTTACATGGTAGATTCTCTGGCATTTTTCTTGCTCTCTGGAACCACTCAGCCTGGCCAAGATTTCCAAAACAATGCTGTATTGTGGAAACAAGCACCAGAGACTTGGCAGCTGGGCGGGGCTTTGTGGGGGGCTGCAGAGGGGCTGGGGCCCAGGCTGGTGCCGCCTCCGAGCCTCAGTGTGGGGCCCGAGCCCCAAGTGCTCCAGCCCCACAGCTGGGTCCCTTTGCACTCCGACAGAGGGCCAGGTGTGGAGGCCCCGAGCGTTCCCTCAGTATGGGGCCACAGCGAGTGCGTTCCAGAAGCAGGTCTAGTCCACGTCCTGCCCCATGCGCCACGGAATGTGTCAGGCGCTGGTTCCCTGGCTGCGCTGTGTCACCCGGAAGTGCTGGGGGCCGTGGGTTCCCTATCTTTCCAGGGAGACTTGGCCTTCAACCCTGGCTTGGTGGCTGCGCTGTAAACCAAAAGAAGGGATGTGGGTGAAGGCAGGGTCCTCGGGGGGCCCCCCGGTACCCAGCACTGCTTCTGAGGGGCCCGGTGGAGGCCTCAGTGATGAGCCCCTGCCCGCCTCCAGGTTTTGGCCAGCGAGGTTGGGGAAGACGTGAACGTGCAGCAGCTCCTGTCCTCGCCGGGGACCTGGAGGGGCCGTGCGCAGCAGATCCTTGTCCTGCAGAGCAAGGTGAGTGGCCACCCACCAGGCTTCGCCCGGCCCGGCCCACACCAGAGACCTGGCCCCGAGGCACCCAGAAAGGCCACCAGGTCCCATGGAGCCCGCTGCAGGGCGGCTCTTCCTGTCCTCCCCCGCCAGCCTGACTTTAATTTGCTAGGGAGTGAACAAGCACTTATATAACACCGCATTCCAGGCACTGGTGCTAGCAAACACCAATGCCTCTGGCCTGACGACTTACTCTCCAGGCACATTTTTCCCCCAGTTCGTCTAAATTTGCGTGACTGTTGTAATTGTAGGCTTCTTCCAGTTTCATCCAGATGCGTGCAGGCTTTTGAACGTTTTCATTACCCAGTGAAAACTTAGCCTTGCCTCGCTCTTTGTTTTCTAAGTATTTTGGAGCGCGCCCAGCGGGGCTAAGAGCTGGGTCTCTGCGTCCCAGCTGCTTGAATCCAAGCCCCGGTTCTCCACCCACCCACCGCTCACACTTGCTGTGTGACCTCGAGCAAGTTACTTCCGGTCTTGCCTGGTTTTCTCACCTGTGGGAGACGGGAGCAAGCGAACGTGTGCAAAGCGCTTGGCTTATCCAGAGTGCCTGGCGCAGAGTGCACGATGTACACGGGCTGCCGCAGGCCTTTCCCCTTGCTGTATGAGGAGGTGTGTGATTTCCACGACCGCAGAGCACATCTCCTTCGTCCCCCTGGGCTTCAGGTCCGCGGTTCCCTGGGGGCTTTCACTCCCAGGCCCTGTGGGACCCTTGAAGCCAACACGAAGAGGGGGGCTCCGGGTAACTGTAATTGTTGATCGATACGAGGCCTTGGGATCCAGTCGGACTGCCTCGGAGTCTGGAGTCTGTCACTGCTGACAGCTGTGACCTTGGCACACTTCCTGCCTGTGCTTGTAAAGCAGAAATAATAATACCTTCCCTATAGGGTTGCTAGGGGTTAGATGAAATAACACTCACATAGCGCCTGGCCGTAACGAGCACTCACCACCGCAGTTATTGTTGCCATCAAGTTGTACGTTCAATGTTTTAGAGTAAGCCCGTGCTCTTTAAGGCTTCCCTAGAATTACCGTACAGCGCCACCTCAGGGCCCTGATTCACCTTTCAAAGCGGGGCTCCGGCCCTTTGCCAGAGATCCTAGTAAATCCTGCCTCTTTTCTTAGAAACTTTGTCTCCAGATGGGATCTGTTCTACTTGCAGCTTTGCTTCGGGGTAGAACTCTGTTCTAGTTGCAGCTCTGTGCCATGCCGTGGCTGAGTCCACAGGGGAAGCAGGGTAGGAGGGGCCCTGGGGGCTATCTGCCCTCCCCTGTGTGACAAACACATTGTTCTGTGGGGTGACCACCACTTGCCGCTAGCCAAGGGCTCTGCGTCGAGGGCTTCTGCTGGACTCTTGGCGTTTCTCAAAGTTGCCTGACCCTAAAAATCACCCAGGCCCTTCCCTGGTTGGTCTGGCGTGGACTCCGAGATTTGTCACTGCAGGGAGAATCTTGCGGATTTCATGCTCCCGCATGTTTGGGACACTGAACCCTCTGAACGACATTACCCTGAGGCTTATTCTATGGTTGAGGACATTGAGATTCACAGAAGCTAAGTGACCCGTGCAGTCACACCAGCAAGGCTCGGAGCACCTCCTGCAGGTGGCCCCGCTCTGAGCAGCCCGTGTCCTCAGTGGTCCGTTCCTAGAGTCCCCCCTCCTCGAGACCCCGGGGCCACCGTCTGCGTCTTGGCCTCGGCGACGGGGGCTTTCCTCGTGCCCCTGACAAATCTCTCTTCTAAGCTAAGCCTCTCCGGCCCTCAGCTGCTTTGCCCAAGAGGCCAGCGTAGGTCCTCCCACCCCGGCCCCTGCTGGGGCTCCCTCGGCCGTCTGGGGCGGTGGCTCCATCCTCAGTCCCAGGGGGTCTCCTGTCTCCCCGAATGGGGACACCAGCTCGGGGTGGAATGAGGAGTTTTACTGCCCCCAGGTCCGGGAGCTTGAGAAGCAGTTGGGACAGTCCCGGAGCAGGTCTGCGGGGACAGCCGGTGACGAGCTGTCTGTCCACCCAGACCCCAGGAAGCTGTCGCCACAGGAGAGGAACCTGCAGCGGATCCGCAGCCTGGAAAGGGAAAGGCAGGAAGGCTGGGAGGTAAGGACTAGGTCAGGAGGGCCTGGGGCCGGGAGGGAGCCGGAGAGGCCTGGCTGGCTCACCTGTGCGGGCGCTGTCGGAGCCGCCTGACTGGGCCTGGCAGGGCTGTGTCCGAGACGCCTGCCTGTGGCGGGAAGGGAGGGCAGGCAGGCGGATGGCCCGGGGGTGAAGGGCTGGAGCTGGCGGGGCTCAGGCTGTGGAGCTGGAGTGTGAGACTCAGCTCTGCTGAGTTTAAGCAACAAACAGAGCTCCTGGGCCCTGACAGGGATGGTGCTTTGGTGCCCTAGCTCCAGCCGCGGGTAGGCTGGGAACTTGGGGGTCTTTCTCGGGTCTGGGTTGGCCACACGCCCTCCCAGGCGACCCCCACCCTCCCGCCCAGCCCCACAGTGCTTCTGATCAAGCTCCAGCACTCAGTGTTTTTGGCCAGGCTGGGGTCTTTGCCCTCTGAGCTGGCGCCAGAGGCCCAGAGCCGAGCTGTACAGCAGCCTCCCGGCCTGGGCGACAGTGGGGAGCCAGGGCCACTGCAGCACGGGAAGAGGGGGAGGCAGCACCAGCCGGCCGTGTGGCAGGGCCCTTGGCAGCCCGAGCGGGCCTCCTGGCAGGGAGGCTTTGCCTTCCCAGCGGTGTGCGAGCTTCAGGCAGAGCCTGTGCCGGGGATGTGGTGACCGCCCCACACCGTACCTCCTAGCGTTCCGGACACCGGGCGTGGGTGCGGACAGGGCCCGGTCTGCCGGCTGGGCTCTGGCTTTCGCCTCGAAGGCAGCGGAGAATCCTGAGGGTTTTGAGTTGACGGGATGTGGTCACCGTGCGCCTTGGGAAGGTCATGTGGCCAGGGGACGGGAGGCGGAGGAGGCAGGGATGATCCACGTGGACAGGGACAAGGACCTGCAGGAGATGGGGACCAAATGGGGCCCAGGGTGGACCCCAAGCAGCCCCGCAGTGACAGGAGGATGAAGGACCGGCAGGGTGCCGGGTGCAGAGGGCGTGGGTGGAGGGCAGAGTAGGCGATCCGCGCACACGGGAGCAGGTAGGCCCAGCAGCCAGGCAGGGGCTGTGTCCTGCAGGCCTGTCCCACCGACCGCCACTCCTGCTGCTCACAGCGGGGACCGTGTGCTCACTCCTCACGGCTGGCACCCACCTCCAGCGCTGTCTCAGTCCTGGCCTCCCAGCCTGGCCGCCCGTACCGCACCCTGGTCTGTGCTCCCTCTTTACACTGCCCCACGCCCCTCCATGCCGGGTCCGCCTTCTCCGTCTGCACTTGCCGCTTCTGGATGTCGCCTGTCACCTGTGCCCCTTGCGAGGAGCTCTGCTCCTTGGGAACAAGAGTGCTGCTAATCTCTGCTGGATCCGCAGCACCTGGCAGGCCCTCAGGAAGTGCGGAGGTGCAGGAGCTGAAAGCCGGGTGACCTGCTCTCCTCTCGGCCTGGCTCCGGGGGCCCGCTCCAGGCCAACCTGACCTGACGCCCTCCACTGCTGCCGGGGTTTCTCACCCAGCACTGGCCCTGGGTCTCCACTTGCCCCACCCGGGCCGCCGGCTGGTGGGAGCCAGGACTGAGCCGGCCCCGCTTCCCTCGGCAGAAGCTCACAGGCGAGCGAGACGCCCTCCAGGCCGAGCTGGAGGGGCTGAGGAGGAAGTTCGAGGGCATGCGCTCCCGGAACAAGGTCCTGTCCAGCGAGGTGAAGACCCTCCGGGGCCAGATGGGGACGCTGGCCGAGAAGGGCAGGCACGATGATGAGCTCATTGACGCCCTCATGGTAGGCAGCTCCCCCACCACTGAGCCCGTGACTGGCCCGGCCGGGAGAGCCTGGTCCCCAGGACACAGCAGCCGGGCTGCGTGGGCACCAACCCTGGGCCTGAGGACCCCAGTGGGGAAGGAAAGCTAGGAGGGGGAGATGGGCCGAGGCCTGGGTTCCTCCTCCAGCAAGACAGCAAGGGGCCGCTGGAAGTCACGCATGTTCGCGTCTGTCCCTTCCCAACACCCTGGATGGTGGTTCATCCCCGAGACAGTGCCCAGAGTCACGGGTTAGGGTCCCCTCCGCAGGTGGGAGCCCAGGACACAGCCTGGTTACCTAACAGCTCCATCCAGGAGCCCCTGAGCAGCAGGTTTTGCCCAGTGAGTGAGGCCGCGCCGCGGTGCTACCCTGTGGCCTGTGCCTCTCCGGGGGACCTGAGACGCCCCAGCGTTCAGGGGCTGAATTCCAGGCGGTGCCTACCTGCCCCAGGAGGTGTGGCTGACTTGACTGGGGTGCTGGGGGCAGTGCTGGCCCTGGGCTCATCCTCCAGCTGGCATGGAACCTGGAATGGAGGCCACTTCTGCCTCCCGGCTGGTGAACCCCAGCCCAGGTGCTGCCCCTCTCTGAGCCTCAGGAGCCGGTTTTTGCAGTGAGGTACAGGCTGGGCCTCTTCTGCGGTCCCCATGTCCGCTGTCCCTGCATGTCCCCATGTGCAAACCAGCCCCATGCCGCAGGGCTCTCCGCTCCTCCACCCTTCTGAGTGGCTGACGTGGCTCCTGCTGTTGTCCTGCTGCAGGAAGCTGCTGCCCCAGGAGTCTCTGTGGGGCATTTCCAGGGTATGGGGCAGCAGCAGGTGCCAAGGGTCCCGGGAAGAGGGTCAGGGCGCTGCCTCCAAGGGCCCCCAGCCAGGTGGGACCGGGCCTGCTTTTTACCCCCACACCTGCAGCACCACTGAGGAGCCCCTGCCTCCACTGCCCCTGCCCGCCTGACTGGAGTCCCCAGCAGGCTGTGGTGTGCTGTGCTGCTGTTGGATTCTTGTGGCCCAGGGAAGGGACAGGGGTCACCCTGAGCAGCCAGGACTGACCCCGCTGGCTGCCCCGGCCCCCCAGGAGCAGCTGAAGCAGCTGCAGGAGACGCTGAGCAGCCTGAGCCTGCAGGAGGAGAAGACACGCGCGTCCCAGCGCCACCAGGACCAGAAGGCCCACAGCGAGGCCCAGAGGAGCAGCAGCCTGGTAGCCCAGCTGCAGGCCATGGTGGCCGAGCGGGAGGCCAAGGTGAAGCAGCTGGAGCAGGACATCAGGCAGCTCGGCGTGCAGGTAAGAGGGCAGCGGCATGCTGTAAGGGACCCCGGGATGTCCCAGCACCCTCTCCTTGCGCTGTCCTCGCTCCGCACCAGGAAGGACAGGACCCCCGCAGGTCACCAGCCAGACAAGCCGGCGGCATCTGTGTTTCCTCAGACCGGCCGGGGAGCGGCTCATGCCAGGCTCCTTGATGACGAGGGCGTCCAGGTCCTTGGTCCTTCTCTGAGGGTCCCCTAAGGTCCTTGCCCAGCAAGTGCCCCCAGGTGTCTGGGAGAGGAAGGGGCGGGGGTCCCGGCGGACAGAGGCGGCCAGCCTGAGTCCCTGTGTAGACGTCGGAGGCTGACCCGGCGAGTCCACAGCCTCGCATCTCTCCTGGGGCCGGGATATGGAGCAGCTCCCGGCTTTCTGAAGAGACGCATTGTCTGATGTCATTGTCATGCGAGCAGCGCCTCCCCACACAGGCCTCGCTGTCCGGGGAAGAGAAGCCTCTTTCATGTCCTGCAGGGCCCGAAGCCCAGCCAGGGCCCCGTCTCCTCGGGCTGCGCCAGAGCCTGAAATGGAGCCCACATCTGTTCCCCACAGTACCTCCAGGATAAAGGAGCCAGCGAGGGGCCCTGTGGGCCTGAGGGCCGCCCCACTCACCCTGGGCCCCCAGGGGAACAGGGCCCGGCCAGGTCCCCGGGCTCCTCGGGTGACCACTCCGGCCAGCTGGGATCCTCTCGGTGAGCATGCCATTGATATTCAGACGCAAGGTCATCTCCCCCATGGGAAGCCCCGGCCCACATGTGCCCTCAGCACGTGGACCCACTACAGCCACGGGGCCAGGCCTCACTGTGACACCCCCTTCAAGCTGACACCCCTCCAGACAATCTGCCCCAGCCCGGGGACCCCACTAAGGGACTGCTAGGCCCTGACATTCTGGGAGGAGGCCCATGCTGGCGCCTCCCCTGCTGATGCCACTCTGATTCCCGCACAGCGCCGTGAGCAGCCTGGGCCACACGCTGGTGGAGTCCGCGCTCACAAGGCCTTCCCTGTCTGCCCCCCATGGGACCACACCCAGGTACGAACTCCTCGGCTCAGCCAGGGCCCCCCGTCCCATGAGGAGAGGAGACGGAGGGGCGGAAGCCCCAGGGTGCATCCGAGGCCGTAGTCAGAGCTGGAACCCAGGCCGCACCTTGCTCCTTCTGGCTGCCAGGGGGCAGGCGCGACCCAGCACCAGACCCTCCTGTGCCTGTGACGCAGAGCTCAGTCTCGGGGGAGCCGGGTCCAGTGGCTCCCACCCTAAGTCACACATGCCCTTGGTCTCGGCCGCTCTTTGTTGATAGAACCAGCCTGGGGCTTGAACAAGGCCTTTGTTCTGACTGCCAGCTCATAGACAAGGCTGGCTTTGTCCTGCCTCAGCCCACTGGAGCCCTGCTCCTGTGTCAGCAGACCCCGGTCCCCTGGGCAGGTCACCTGGGTCCAGCAAGGCCACAAGTGGGCCCCATCCCCCTGCCGTCTTGCTGTGTGGCTCCAGGCACGTTGGCCTCCCACCAGGGACAGGACAGTGTCCTGGGCTGGGGTGGTCACTGGGGTGGTCGCTGGCGTGGCTTGTGCCCGCTCCTCGAGGGCCGGGGTGGACAGACCGAAGGGACAGTCCCGTCCTCTGCTCCCCATCCCGCGCTGTCGTGCGGGGAGCGGCTGTCCACACTGTGGCCGGCTCGGCCAGTTCGGGTGCAGGCTCTGGCTCCCAGGGCTGGCATGGAGACGGGGTCCTGCACTGCCAGCAGCACCTGGCTAGTGCCACGGCCGCTGACCCTGAGAGCCACTCAGTGCATGGGAGCAGAGTCAGGAGCCAGCGCGAGCCCCTGGGGGCCACGGCCCCTCCCACATTGGTGCTTAGTGGGCCACAGCCCGGGTCACACGCAGGCTCGAGGCAGTGGGGCAGGGGTCCTTCTGGCCCCACCACCCATGAGGAAGGCTGTCCGGTGCAGGAAGGAGAACTGCGCTTGTAATGAGCGAGGCGGGGAAGGCAGGCTGGGCACACAAGCCAAGGCTGCCACACGTCGGCAGGACAGCCGGGCCCCAGGCCCAAGGGGAGCACGCGGGCCACAGTACCCCTGTGACCCTGACGGCTGAGCCCCGCCTGGCCGTGCTGCCTCCTCCGTGGCTGCCCTGCGAGCCCGAGTGCCCTTCCTTTCCCTGCCACTGACCCAGGTGAGCCTGTGTGTCTTTGGGCTTCGATGACGTCTGCCTCTGCCCTCATCCCGGCCCCAGGCTCCCAGACCCCCCAGAGCAGAAAGGCTGGCAGGCTGAGGTGGCAGAGACCAAGGCTCTGTGGCAGGCGGCCGAGGTGGAGCGGGACCGGCTCGCCGAGTTTGTCACGGTGCTGCAGAAAAGGTAACACCAGGCCCAGGGGTGCGGGAGAGGGCGGGCTCCCTCCCCCAAGCCCAGCTCCTGGGTGGGTCCAGGGCAGCCCCAGCCCCAGCCTCGGGCCCACTCGTGGGTCTCCTGGCCTTGGGTCCCACTAGCACACTGCAGTCTGTCTGTCTGCAGTGCTGTCCTGCGCCTGGAGTCCCTGGAAGGGACACTTCGGAGCGGCCGTGGAGGCTTAGAGGGAAGAGGCCAGGCTGGGCTGGTAGCTGTGGGTTTGGACACTTCTCTGGGGACACCATGGACCAGGAAGTCCCGGGTCCTCCAAAGGCCCCTGGCAGACTTCACACAAATAAATCAGGGCTTGCTCGAGTGACCCCTGGTGAGGACTGCAGGTGCCCAGGGCAGCACCTGCCCCACAGCACGACCCCCACACTGAGCCACAGCGGGCACCTCGTGTGGGAGGATTTTCAGAAGGCGCTGGAAAACTCCAAGGTGCAGAGGGGAGGGGAGCCCCTGAAAACACAGGGGGCAGGAGCCCTGGGTCATTGTCCCGGGCTGCAGTGACCAGGTCAGTGCTTCTCATGCTTATGCTGTGGCTTTTTGGGCAGGGGTGACTCCCACGTCCACCCACAAGAGGTGCTCCCAGGACACAGGGGAAGGGTGGTCATTACCAACAAGTTGGGGTGCAGGGCAGGGGTGCTTCAAAGCCGTGAGAATGGGCAGCTCTGATTTTGCATTTTGTTTGTATGTGGAGAAGATACGAATTTCATAGTCAGGTTCATGAGAAAAGAGACATTATTCTTTTCCTGTGATTAATGTTTAGAGGTCAGTGAAGATCTCTGGTCTATCAAATAGACATGCATACGCAATCCCAGCTCTCCTGTTCCTCAAGTTATGCCTGCACCTGTTACATGACTCAGCTATCTGTCGCTGTGTAACAAATATCCCCAGCTAAGTGGCTTCACACACAGCAGTGCATTCTTTTTTTTTTTTTTTATTTTAAAGAATAAAAGAAGGATAACATAATAATAGGGGGGACTTAGCAAATTACAGACAAAATGGTAGGAAATTATCAATGGCTATCATTTTACATATTATTGTCTACAAAATAGTTTCTCAGGAAAACAAATAGACAAATAATAGTGAGTTACAGACAAAAGAGGTAGGAGATTATCAAGAGTTGTTGTACTATACTTTGGTATCTTCAAAGTGGCTTCTAAAGAAAATAAATAGAGCTATACATGAGTGACCTACTGAAAAATCATTAACTCTTCTCAATGGTTGTTGTAGGAAACACATAATAATAAACATACATCCATTTATGAAATAGGATAGGAACATTACAAACTTTACACAGTTATGGATAGATTAGTAGGAAAATATCAATGGCTGCTATAATACGTGGTGGTATCTTCAGAGTGGTTTCTCAGGAAGACAGAGATATGCGAGAGGGACCTATTAAGGAGTTACAGCCTAAGGGTTGTCAAAAATAGCATATTACCTCCTCACCAGTGACTCCTTTCACTGAGGTATGACGGCTGGAAGGAAGGCCAGGATTGAAAAGAAGGACCGAGAGACTTGCACCTGTGTCTAGCAACAGGCTGTTTTCTTGTTCCTCCATAGTCATGATTACCCAGGACTCCTCGATGGAGATGACGGTCTGGCCAGAGGGAGAAGGCAGAGTATGCCCCAAGCCCTCTCATTCCTGTTGGACTAACTGGTAGCATGGGTCTGAGCTCTGGGGCCTCCACCTCAGAGGGCAGACCGATCTCCAGTGGTCTCCTTTGCATCCAGGGCATGGCCCATGGGGCCTCTTAGGGCAGTTCCTCTTGAGGTGGCCTGGCTTTTAACAGTGGTAGCAGATGAATGCAGTTGTCGAGTTCTACTTGGAGCCCCGGGAATCAGACCTGGGATCTGTTTCTCTTAGTGGTGCAGCAAAAGCAGCTGCTTTTTCTCGGTCTCTTTGTTTTCTCTCCTTGGCCTCCTCCTCATCATGGCTATAGAATACTGAGGAGGCAATTCTTACTAACATCTCAAGTGAGCTATCTGGGGTGAAAGCCATTCTTTGTAGCTTTTTCTCTCCAGCTTCCCATTGCTTTGGGACCCCACAACCAGTTAGTGTCCTCTCCCCAACTGTCAGCACAGTCAGCAGGAATCCTGCTGCAGACTTCTCCGGAGCTCCACCACAGCCTGTACTGTCAGGGGAAGAGCAGTGCATTCTTTCTCGCAGTTCTGTGGGCTCACTGGTCACTCTGCTCCACACAGTGTCAGCTGGGTCACCAGGGCAGCCTCACTGGGCCCGAAGCTCAGAGGACACCTGAGTCCCCTCCGGTGGCCTCTCTGTGCGGGGTGAGGGCTGGGGCGAGGCACCTGGGACAGACAGGGTCTGAGGTTGCAGTCACTCTCAGAGCACGCACAGGCCACCCCGTCAGCCGTCACGGTCTGCAGCACCTTCTGCTCCGTGTCAGGGTCTGCTGGCTCTCTGACTCCCGCTGTCTCCCAGGCTTTCACAGGCTCGGGAGCCCAGGCACCGCTGCACTTGGACCCCACGCCAGGGCCGGTCCAGGGCGCCCTTTCTCCGAGCCCGGCTGTCCTTGGCCTGTCCTGGCCTTGGACTCTGTCTGTGCCACTGCGCCTGCCCCTCCCCTCTGCCCTGAGTGCCAGCCCCCAGCTCCATCCTGGGGAGCCGGGGTGAAGGGAGCAGAGCCCCCATCATTCCGTCCCCTTCTCTCTACCTCCCGTCCAGCGCCCATTGTCCCCAGGTTCAGGGCAAGTTGTTCCTTAGCTTTTACCCATTTCTGCGGCTGACGGTAGGGGAGCTGCCCGGGCAGCGGCCAGGCGGGAGTCGCTGACTACGGCTCTGGCGCTGAAAGCACGCCGTTGGCGGTTTTCAAATTCAGGGTGGGGTGTTCTGTGCTGACACAGCAGCCTTGGCCCATTCTCACTTCGTCAGGTTCAATCACCTTAATTAATATTTTCTCTCAATATTTGCCGCCATTTTGCCTGCTCCTCCTTCTCCTTCCTCCTGATGCTGGCTGGGGCGTCTGTGTCCCTTCTTGCGCGGGAGTTGGGAAGTTACCCAACCTCTCTGCTTCCTGAGCGTTACCCTCGACCGTTAGCAGCGAGCTCGTCTGCAAGGCTGGGCTCGCGGGTTTCTTCACTGTCCCTGTGTGCGCCAGCATACACGGAATGTGTGATTGATTTCTCCACTGTGAGCTCCCACCTTTCCGCTCTCTGATATTTCTCCTTCGCGTTCTTTCTTCAAATCACCTGAAAGCAAACCCTCCAGATTAGTCTTGTTGTTGAAGTCCGTGTTCGTTGCCTTTTGCTGAGGTCTTTATCTTCCTCCTCCTCCTCCTCTCTCTTCCGCTTCCTCATCTTCTTTCTTCTTTTTTGGCTCTGGGGATGGAACCCAGGCTGTTCAAACTGAGCTACAGCTCTAGTCTCCCCACCCCTCTTTTTTGAAACAGGCTCTTGCTAAGTAGCTAAGTTCCCCAGACGAAGCTCAAGCTTGCAATCCTCCTGCCTCAGCCTCCTGTTAGGGTTGGGATTATGGGTGTGTGCCATGGTACTGGGCCCATTTCCTTCTTGCCAGGGTGCCCCTGTGGGTTGGTGGCAACGGTGTAAACCTGCTGAGTTTTCATTTATTTTTAATTGTGTTCGCTATACTTTTCTCTTGAATAAAAATTTAAGAGGAATTTGGATAGAATTCTAAATGGATCTCTTTTCTGAGCACTTTGAGGCCATTGTTTCACGTCTCAGCGTGCACTGCTGCCAACAAGAACCTGCTGTGATGATTCCTTTGTAGGCTTGTCCTTTCTCCCTAGATGCGTTTTTGGATATTCTCTGTCTTGGTATTTTGACTCTTCACTGACCGTGTCCAGGCGCACCCGCACATGCGCACTGATCTTCCTCCTCAGGAGCCCGGTCCTTTTCCCTCTGTACATGCCCGGGACGCGTCTCCGTGTGCTGCCTCGCCCAGTTCTCCCTGTTCCCAGCACACGTTACACTCTCTTACTCACTTCCCCGACTCTTACCCTGCTGGATATTTGGGGCTGACCTCCCAGAACTTTCTTCAAGTCTGTCTCTCAGCTCGCTGCGTCTCTTCCCCTGCACCTCAGCCGCCAGGAACCCTGGTTTCGTCACCGGACTTCTGCGCAGGCGCCCCTTCTGCCGCGGTGCTCCTCGTTCTGCTCCTCTGGGCTTCCTGGGCTGGTGCAGGGTTCCGGGTCTGAGGGGGTTTTGCATGATGACGGGGTTTCCCAGACACGCAGGTGGCAGTGGCGTCCCCACCCCATTCCCTAGTCAGCCGTTGCCTCCCTGCCCCCTCTGGGACACCTAGGCAGAAGTGTCTGAGTCCTCCCAGCACAGCAAGGTGTCCTGGAGGCTCCAGAGTGCCCCAGGAGTGGCCAGCTGCGGCCTTCTGGAAGCCTAGGCATGCACCTCCAGCCACCTGTGCCGGCGAAGCCCCAGTCACACCACTGGAAGTTTCCCCAGCTTTCCTGTTCTAAATGTGTGTTACTGCACAAAGTCTGCTTCTCCAAGCCCCAGTCCACGTTCCTCGTAGATAAAAACTGCTAAAACTATTAAAATCTTTCTGTGCACATCTAATAATATACACAGATATGTACGCATGTGCATATCCATGTGTGTACATGTAACATATATTATTAAAAATGAACTCAACAATAAACACATCTTTACACTTTCCTGAGAGTATGTCTGTATCACAGACTGTAAAAGCAGAGAAAAACCAGAGAACATGCACACATAATATAGTCACAAATAAGCTGGGCGTGGTGGCACACACCCGTAATCCCAGCACTGGAGGCTGAGACGGGGATCACAAGTTCGAACCCAGCTGGGGCAATTTAGGGGCTTATCCAGACCCTGTCTCAAAAGATTAAAAAGGGCTGGAGATGTGGCTCAGTGCAGAATCCTTGGGTTCGATTCCCAGTGCTGAAAGGAAAAAAGAAAGTTTACAGTAATGGCAAACTGGCCCTTTAAAGTGAGTGGGATTCACATTCCTACCAGTAAGGTGAGGTCTTGGGCCTACCATGCTCCCCTGTACCAAGATTGATCAGCCTGCAACGTTTTGCCAAGCCAGGAAAGGAGCGCTCTCACCTGTGGTCTTGGTGCTTCGCAGGGCCGGAAGCAAAGCTGAGTGTGTTTTTTGCGCGTCCTGTGCGTGTTCTTCCCGGTTAATTACCTGTTTCCGCCGTGGCCCATGCGTTTAGAATCGTTCATATTTTCCCTGATTTGTAGAGTGATTTACATTTTACATACATAGTTGTGTGCACATATTTGCGTGTTTATCCTTGCACGGATCCTGTACCACTTACGTTAAATTAGTTGCCGAGTGGGGCCCCTGTGTGTGTCACAGTGACAGTCCCCCAGACAGTGTTTTGAACACCAGAGCACGCCTACGACGTTGGCCGCCTGAGAGTCTTCACTTTGCTCTGGCCGGTGAAGAGGCAAACCTTTGGCAGTGCTTGGATTTCCTAAGCGGGTGGGGCTGGAGACCGCTAGAACCACCCACAAAGCTGCTGGCCGGTGGGGCAGGGCAGGGATCAAGACAGGCGAGGTGGGAAGGCGAGGGTGACCCCGGCCTGAGGGATGGTGACCTTTGTCCAGGTGGGGAAGGCACATCCAGGGCGAAAAATAGTTTGGTTGCTCCTAAGTTCTGCGGGAGCTCGTGATGTGCTGTATGTTTTGCACACGTGCACTAGCCTTCCGCCCTCTGTGTGCATGGGGTGGGAAGTCAGGCAGGACGCAGGCCTGACCGCAGCACCTCCCGGAGCACCCACTCCTCCCGGGCTTCCGTCCCTGCCTGGCCCCGCCGCAGAATGACCCAGCCGTGTATTTGGTTCTGAATTTTTAATTTGTTAGGAATTTTTAAATTAGCTCAATCTTCTGCTGCTTGTTTCACTGAGTAAGACATCGTAGGCCTTCTCTTCCTGTTGGTGCCAACTCTTCTTGGGGTTACGGGGTATCTTGTCGGGTGACTGTGCTGATTTACCTCCCGGTCCTCTGTTGATGAGTTATCATAACTTTAAAGTTCTCCATTGTGTTAGGACGCCCCCTTCTACTCTCACTGTACTTTGACTTTTAAACATGAGGAGTAGACAGAGGCGTGACCAACCCTTCTTAGCGTCCGTTGGGAGGATCACAGGTTGCCCCCACGCGGTCCTCCTCTGCCAGGTGGGCTCCAGGACGACACCCGGCCCAGGGCTGGGAGCGGTCAGCTCAGGGTTCCTGATGAACGAATGAGCGAATGAGGAGAAGTGACGGTGTAGGGCGGCCTCTCCAGGGTTGGGCCCGAGGCAGCGTCACATGAGGCACTGGAAAAGTCTTTCAACCTGACAGCAGAATGTGTCCTGAGCGGGGGCACCATGGACAAGAAGGGGGACAGTCCTGTCCTGTCCTGAGCTCCTGCCAACACAGACGCAGCTGGCTGGCTGGTGTGGCCCTCCGAGCCTGAGCCCAGCCCCTCCGGCCCATGGTGTGGGCCGCACCTGGCCTGGGTTTGTGCATGGGAGACGCAGCAGGTGGGCTGGGAGATGTCAGCAGCAGGGACCCTTTACACAGCAGCGTTCTCCGCACCTGTGGCCTGGTGACCAGCCTGCTCGCGCAGCCCTCCTCGTCAGCGGCTGGAGCCTCACCGCCTGGTGGGAACTCCACGCCGATGGAGGTACCCCGGATCTGCTCCGGTCCGTGCCGCGGCCGCCAGCCGCATGGGCTTCTGAAAGCTTGAGGGCGCCTAGTGTGGCTAAGAGACTGAATTTTCTGTTTTATTTAATTGTCATTAATGTAATAGCTACCTGTGGACACGAGGCTGTGGCCGCTGTGCGGGGAGCACAGCTCTGTTGTACTTTAGAGTCCCGTTGCTTTGTCCTGTCCCTGCGGATGGCCCTTGAGGTCCACTTGGAGGATTCTTGCACACAAAATCGCAAGAAACATGCTTAAACGTGCTGGGCTGCGTGCTGTGCCACCCCCAGCTTCGGTCAGCAGCTTGTCCTGTTCAGGATCGCTGGCATCGGGCCCCTTGGGCCTCCTCCCACCGGGAGAAACACTTCCCCAACACTCACTTTCCAGTATGGGTGCGCATGGGTGCGCCTGTGACCCTCAGCGTGAGTTAGGCCTCAGGGAGTCCTGGCCGTGAGTTAGGCCTCAGGGAGTCCTGGCCGGAGCCTTCAGGCTGATCGGAGGCCACGCCTCGGCCCAGGCGCTGGTGAGATGGGCAGGTCTGTCACGTGAGGTAGCCACATGACAAGGTCATCATGGCTGTGACGTGTGACAGGCACGAAGGAAACAAGATGTGAGCAGAAGGCAACTCCCAACTCTAGGAAAAGCAAACCAGGAGGCAGGCAGGGTCATCGTCTATGTGCCACATGGCTGGGCTACGGCTAAACTGACCCCGTGTGCGCCGTCAGTGGACAGGACTCCGGTCCGGCCTCTCTGCCTTGCTGTGACACCCGGAGACACTGTGTCACATGGCAAAGAACTTGGCAGACGTCATCATCGTGATGGACCGTAAAGTAGGCGGGCCATCCTGGATTACCGGAGGCCGCTATCTAATCCCTAACCCCGGGAAGGCAGAGCTATTTTCCCGTCCGGGCTCAGCAGAGACGCTGCATCAGGCGGGTCAGAGAGGCTGGGCCAGCTTTAGAGTCCAGGGGCAGCGAGCTTGCAGCTGGAGGAAGCAGGCGCTCAGCTGTCCAGTGGCCTGCACTGGATTCTGCCAGTGCCCGGACGGGCTTGGAGCAGATCCCCCAGCACCTCCAGACAGAGCCCAGCAGCGAGACGCTGAACTTGGCTGACGGCAGCCAGAGCGGGGAAACGGCTGAGCCTGCTGGCCTCCTACTACAGACCCGCAAGGCGACACCTGCGTGTTTTGTTTGTGCGTTGTGGTACTGGGCATCGAACACAGGGCTTCGCACATGCGAGGCAACAGCACTATCCAGGAGCTGCCTCTCGGGCCCTTTTCGTTGTTAGTTTGAGAGAGAGTCTCTCTAAGTTGCCTGGCTGGCCTTGAACTTGCAGTCATCCTGCATCAGCCTTCCAAATAGCTGGGATTACAGGTGTGCACCGTGGTGCTTGGCAAGTGCATTGTTTTAAGCCGTGAATTTTGCACTGATTTGTTATAACAGCAATAGAAAAAGGATCCAGCATCTGCTACCAGTTCGGGCACTGTGGAAAGGGCTTTCTGTTTGGTGAAGCAAGAAAGCATTGGGAGAAGATTAACTTCCCATTCTGTATGACAGGAAGTTAAACAGTTATGTTTAAACAGCAGTAGAAATGTGGCCACGAGCGCCTGGAGAACCAGCTAGAAATGCCAGGAGCAGCAGCTCTGGGGAGCAGGAGTCTCAGGCCCAGAGCGAGCTCCGTGCGTTCAAGTGCACAAACGTCTGCACAGTGCCGGCCGCCAGGCAGCCCTGGTCCCCGGGGCTCTGAGCCGGGCAGGGCAGGTGCTCTGCCTGTGGCCGCAGCATCTCTCTGTGCCCAGGGTGGAGGACGGCAGCACCAGGCTCCTGGAGGCCGAGAGGGAGCTGCGGGCAGCGCGGCAGCGCTCGGCAGTGCTGGAGCAGCAGCTGGAGAAGGCGCGGCTGGAGCCTGGCCGGGCCGCGGCCAGGGGCAGAGCAGGTAGGGGCTGCAGCTGGTCCAGTGCGGGTGGGGAGGCGGCAGTGGAAAATGGGGAGCCTTGGACCCCGTGAGCTGTCAGCTGGGCGCCCCTGGCCTCCACCCTGGTGCCCAGCTCGGCTCTTGACCCTGTGCCCCTCATGCTTTGGGTCGCAGCAGCTGAGCCTGGGGGAGCCGGCTCAGTGGCCCCAGGTGGGCACTGTCCCTCCTGCCCTGGACACACGGCTCCCACCCCAGAGCCCAGGGTGATGCTCCAGCAGGAAGGGGGCCTGCAGATACACTCCTCATCCCGCTGCCCTGCGGGTTCCGGCTCCGCAGCAGCTGGGGGCCCAGTGAGCCAGGGCACCAGTGCCTGAGCCTGAAAGGAGACCCCAGGTGGGGCTGGGCTGTCTCTCACTGACCCAGCCTGTCCCACTCCTCCAGGCCTCTGGCCATGTAGGGACATCAGAACAGAGCAGCCCCAGGTCCCCATGGGCCAGACCACAGGCCCTGCTGGCTTCTCTTTTTCACGCAGGAAATGCGAGGTTGGGGTGCTGAGGGGAGAAGCCACCTCGGCTGGACAAGAGCAGAATCAGGGCCGTGGCAGAGGCCAAAGCCCGGCAGGGTGGGAGAGGAGTCAGGGAGGGCTCCTGGGGGGCGGTGGCCTTGTCCTCGCCTGAAGGAGGTATAAGGAATGTTTCGCCAAGTGGGGAAACGGTGTTAGCACAGGCTGTGGCCTCATCATGCAAAGTGGCTGCTGCTGCCCCACAGGCCTGCCTGCCTCCAGCGCCAGGAACAACTCAACAGGGAGTGAGAAGAAGGCTCCGTCCTCTTCCCAGCTGCCCATGGAGTCCCGGGTGGAGGAGCTGACAGCCAGGTGCCCCGCCCCGCTTCCTGGCAGGGTGGTATTCTGTCTGGGTGCAGGTGCTGCAGGGCATGTGGCTCCTGTCTGCCCCTAGGTGGGTCCTGCTGTGTCCGGTCTCTAGGCCTGCAGCTCAGGGGCCAGCCTGCAGGGACACCGTGGCCAGCTGTGCCCTCCTGACCCAAGTCCTGAATCAGGCATGGGAGACTGAACCCACACGCCCGCTCGGCAGAGCCCTCCCCGGGCTCCTGGGGGCCTGGCTGGGGCTGTGGGTGCTGGGCGGGGTCCAGGGCACACCGCGATGCCAGGCGCTCAGCCCCCTGTCCTGTGCCAGGCTGGCCGTGCAGGCGGAGGAGAACGAGCTGCTGCGTGCTGCCCTGGGCAGCGCCCTGAGGGGCAAGGAGGAGGACTTCCGCGTGTACCACGAGACGCTGGCCCAGGTGAAGGGCGTCTTCCTGCAGGCCCTGCGGCAGCAGCGGGCTGACCGCCACTAGGAGGGTGGCCCAGTGTCCGTGGGCTCCCAGAACCTGGCCTGTGGGGACCTGGGCATCATCGGCCACTGCTGGGGGACACACGGGATCCCCTGAGCTGGGCCTGCGTGCCCCGCCCGGCACCACCTGTGCCCCCCGACCCGGGCCCTGGCTCCCCATCCTCTGTGGCTGGGACCTGGAATAATAATCACCACGTCCATGAACCGCAGTGTGTGAGTGTCTCCCGCCCGCCTCCAGGAGTCAGGGCCTCCGTCGCGTCACCAGTGAGGCCGGGCCTCGGGGACGCTGGGCTCCCGGTCACCCTGGGCGTCCCAGGCCAGGCCTCTGGCTGAGCAGACTGCCCAGCCCAGGCACTTCTGCCGCTCCCCGAGGGCAACTCGGATGGGCACGGGGCGGGGCTGGGATGCCGACCCAGGTGGGCGCGGAAGGGTTTCAAGGCAGCGGCTCTGGCCCGGCCCGGAGCCTCCGTTCTCTCTGCGACGTCACGGTGTCTCTCAGCTGCCCGGGGAGGGTCACCGTGCCACCCAGAGCTGAGGCACACAGGGCACCCTCGGAGGCCAGGGCACGGATGAGCAGTGCGGTTCCAGCACCCACCTACCCGGGAGATCCAGCCACGCGGGCACCGCCTGGCGGGTGGCACCAGTGCCCTCCCAGGGCCACCTGGGCTCCCATACGTCGGCTGAGCAGCCCCAGCCCTCTGCCCTTCGGGGCAGCACCACCTCGAAGGTCCACCTCAGGGCAGGACACGGGCTGCTGGGTCTGTGGCCTGTGCCCCGTCTCTCACGGCCCCGCTCAGGCACTGGGAGACCGTCGGGTGCACTGGGCGCAGGGGTGCAGACCCCAGGGGAGCCCCTCGGGCGCAGGGGTGCAGACCCCATGCCTGTGGCATCCCGGGAGCAAGAGGCAGGTGTGGGAGCAGACGCCCACACAAGTCACCCAGGGCGGGGTGGGGTGTGGGCGTCACCCACTGCCAGCTCCATGGCCTCCGCCAGGTGGCTCCCACTCCTCACAGCTCCCTGTCCTGTGTGAAGTGGGGACAGTCACACAGTCCCCCCAGGACACCGTCAGAGACCAGCCAGGAGCAGGCGCCTCGCTGTTTACTTCTGCCCCGACACTAACGATAGGACGTGGGCAAGGATGGTGGGGGACACAGAGGACCCCGCTGCCGTCCTTAGCACACGGATCCACGGGCTCTGCAGGGCTGCGAGGCTTCCAGTCCTCCCCTAGGCTGACTGCAGACAGAAACCTGCAGCACCAGCATGGCCGGGCACCCCTGTGGGCACCCCGCCGTCTCCTAAGCCTGACCCATCCCTTAGAACCTGGCTGGACCCAATGAGCCGCGCTGCCGCTGGCACGCAGTAGGTGTCCAGACAATGCCAGCACAGAGCGCTGAGATGAGCCCCGGGCTCCTGGCAGTTGCCGCGGTCACTGTCCATGCCCGAGTAGGTGGGGGAGACCCAAGGGACCTGCTTCCCTGTCCTCGTGTCCCGACTCCCCGCCCCAGCTGTGGGTTGGAGGAGAGCAGAGCACAGAGAAGGCTGGGCCCACGGGACGGAGCCCACCGGTCAGGGGGTGCGGGCGGCCTGCTGTCCAGGGTGGCATCCTGGCCCCTCCCTCAGGCGGGCAGCTGCAGGACAGCACCGACCTGACACTCATCCCCTGAGGGTGGGAGGGGCAAGTAAAGAGGCAGGTGGAAGCAAGTATGTTGGGCACTCTGGGAGGCTGAGGCAGGAGGGTTACAAACTCGAGCCCAGCCCAGCCTGAGCAATTTAGCGAGACCCTGTCTCAAAATAAAAAACACAAAGAGCTGTGGATGTGGCTTAGTGAGAAGACCCTGGGATCAGCCCCCAGTACCACATAAACAAGGCAGGCGGTGTGTGAGCGCCCCCGCACAGTGGTGTGAGACCCCAGCAGGCGCTGGGGCTGGTGCTCACGCTCTGGGTCTGACGGAAGACCTGGGGACAGTCACGTGGTCTGGGGGCCTGGGGGGCACAGCTGTGCCAGTCTGGGTGGCAGCCTGGCTCCTGTGAGCAAAACGCCTTCCCGGAGCCCAGCCTGCATGTCCTCCACAGGCGGCTTCTGGGCCCGCAGCCTGCGCACGGCATGCAGCACACACGCACGGCACAGAGGTGCAGGCGGCTGAACGGGGCCAGCCGTGCACACGGAAGCTGTGCCCGAGCTCCCCGCGCTTTTGCCTGAAGCAGCGAACAAACTCGGAGAGCCAGAGGAGACGGGAGTCTCAGAGACACCCCTCCGCCCTCCTGCGTCCTAGGAAGCTGGTTCCCCAGCCGACCTGCCCAGCAGCCACATTCCTTCCTCCGTGGGCCAGGGTGGGGGCCCCATCCTGCCCCCCACGTCCCCGTCTCCCGCCGCTGCTGAGGGCTCGGAGACAGGGCGCCCTCCCAGCCCTGCAGAGCCGGGGTGGGTGCAGCTGCGGGCGCCCACCTCACACACAGGGACTGAGCCTAGCAGACCCCCAGCCGGCAGCAGCGCTGGCCTGGGGCGGGGGCAGCGCCCACGTGTGTCACCCAGGGAAAGCTGTGGGGCGCCCTCGCCCTGAGGGCGGTCAGTCCCAGAAGCCACTGCCTGTGTCTCAGTGTTCTCTCCTGCTGGCTGGGGGCAGGGGGACAGTGGTGGGGACAGGAAAAGATTGACTGCATCTGTCCTGGCTGCTGTGATGACCCAACCCCCACACCAACAGAAGTCACAGCTCGCACCGCTGGGGTCGAGGCTCAGGGACGGGGTCGCGCTGCTCTCTGCTGGTCGGGCTCCCCTGGCTCACCCCTGTCCCCTTCCCAGGGCCTGCTTGGCCAGCAGGGCTTCCTGCCACCCTCAGCAGAGCCATGGCAGGGGCTGGGGCCAGCAGGGGCTCCAGGAACTGTCCCCAGCTGATGACAGGCACACACCACCAGGCCCCAGGGACCTGGCACGGACACACTGCTCCCAGACACAGGGCCGCGCCCCCCGGGAGCAGTCAGAAGACCCCGCCTCTCCAGGTGCCATCAGGAGCGCCCTCCCGGGACACAGCTGGTTAGGGACAGCCCCTTCTTCCTGTCTGCCGCTGAGGGTGCCGGCCACTCCAAGTGCCCACTCACCCTTGCCGGGGCCCTGCAAGCACCCCACTCAGAGACAGCTCCTGTGGGACGAGCAGGTCTGTCCTCCCCAGGCACCACGCCTGTGCCACCGGGGCTCAGTGGACACAGAGCAACAGGCAGGGGCCACGTGGGTCCACCCTGAGCACCCCAGGGGTCCCAGGAGAAGGCAAAGCGGTGCTGAGTCGGGATGGTGTGTGCGTGGCCACCTGGAAGGCTTCCTGGAAGAGGGGTCCCGAGAAGCAGCAAGAGGGAGGCAGGGGGTTGCGGGGCGCAGGCTGGGGGCCGGTGTCCCTGCCTGAGCCTCTCCTCTCCCCCTCCCCCACCCTCCTGCGGCTCCGCGGCCAGCAGCTCTGCAGTGCTCGGCTCAGCGCCACTCAGGAAGGCCACCTCCTCCTGCCCTCCCCCGCCCTGTCACCACTCACCGCAGGGCCTCCAGGGGGTGGGGACCCCGGCCTGGACACTCCCCACTGTGGCCCCAGACCTCAGCCAGCCGGACAGACGTTCAGTCGGACGCAGGGCCCCGGAGCCCGAGGTGGGCAGCGCGCCAGGGCCCCTCGCGGCCTCTCAAGGTCAGTGCTGGCCAGGGACGTGGCCATCCTGGGCTCCTAGACCTGCGGGCCTTCAGGCCCCTCGTGCCACTCCCAGGCCCCAAGGCAGACTGGCCCCTGAGCACACCTGAGACGGCCAGGTGGGGCAGGGTCACCGGGGTCCAGCGGCCGGCCCAGGTCGGGGTCTGGTGGGAGAGGCCGGCTGGGGGCCGCTCCTGGCGGAGGCCTCACCAGGGCCACTCGGCACCGGCCGTGGGAGCTAAAATTGGAACGCGGCAAGTGGGAGGCAGCTGACAAAGCGGTTCTGTGGCTCCCCGGCGCTCGGGTTTCAGCTCCTGCTCCATTAACCTGATCCTGGGCCTCCGCCCCGCCCGCCAGGGCAAGGGGCTGAGGAGGTGCCCAGCCCGGCCGTGGTGGGGGTCAGGTGCAGCTGGGACATGGGTGGGGGGCATGGCCTCTTCCAGGACTCTGGAGGGCTCTCTCAGGCCACCTTGTCGTGGAGGAGGCAGCCAGACGTGGGGCCCTGGCCGCCCCTTGCCCCCTCTGGCCCACGGCCACTCCACTGTGGACTGGGTGTCAGGGGTGGGCCCAGGAGAGCTGGCAGGGCACCGGCCCGGGCGCGTCCATCCCTGGGGAGCTCAGGATGGGGCGCAGCCATGCCCGCCCAGCGGACACCAGGACCAGCTCTTCCCTCGAAGCTGCGGGGTGGTCCTTGTGAAGTGGCAGGGTGCGCTGGCCAGAGCGGGGCATGGCCGGAGGGCAGAGGTGTAAACTGGCCCCAGGGATGACCCAGCATGACGCTGAGGACTCTCGGCCCTGGCAAGAAGCCGGTCAGCACCTTGGACAGCGGCCAGCGCGCTCAGGTGCCAGCCTGGCCCCAGCCCTCTTCCCTTCCTGGGCACCTCAAATGGCTCAGCCGCCAGCCAGCGTCGGCCTGAGTGCCTGGGGCACCAAGTGAGGACAGTGGACACCAGGAGGGCCAGGATCAGGCAGGCTTGTCGGGGGTCCATGCCCAGGAGGTCATGGGGTCGGGTCAGGAGAGGCAGCTCAGGAACGGCCTGGGGCCCAGGTGAGGGCTGCTGGGGGCAGCGGGGCTCTGTCAGGAGCAGTGAGGTCAGGGGATGGGGGGACCCAGAAGTCCATGGGGGCCTTGGTAGGGGTGGGCGAGCCCACTGGAGCTGCAGGGAGGGTGGGGCACAGTGGGAGGTGACGGCCCTCAAGGTTGGGTGCAGCTCCTTGGGGTGGGGCTTCCAGCCCAGCAGGGCTATGGGTGCCACACCTCACCCCAGTTGTCTCCCCAGCCCCGTCCAGACCATGGGCGTCAAGACAGCGCTGCCCGCCGCCGAGCTGGGCATCTACTCCCTGGTGCTGAGCGGGGCCCTGGCCTTTGCCGCCCGGGGCCTCCTGGAGGCATCCCAAGGTGACAGCAGGGTCGGGGTGGAGGCTGGGAGCCTGCTCCCCTGGGCCACGGGGTCAGGGGCTGTGTGAGCCCAAGGGTGTGGCCCCAGGGACACAGAAGTGCAGAGCCCCTGATGAGGCCCTACCCTGAGGCCACTCTCTGTCCTCAGATGGGGCCCACAGGAAGGCCTTCCGGGAGTCCGTGCGGCCTGGCTGGGAGTACATTGGCCGGAAGATGGTAGGTCCCGCCCCACACGTACCCCTCCTGAATCCTCCTGTGGTCCCAGTCTCAGAACCGGGGGACCCATGTCCTCCCTCAGGGCCCTGAGGGTCTAGTACGTGGGCCCCCTCAATCCAGAGGGGTGCTGCCATCCCAGGATCACGGCAGGAAAGGCTGATGTGGGCCCTGAGCTGAGCGGAGAGCCAGGGCCGCCCCTGGCTCACCCCTGCCACCCGTGACCCCTTCGAGGAGGGCAGGGCTTCTGCCCAGTGGTGGGGAGAACTCCGTGCTGGGAGGCAGCAGCCCACCCTCAATCCTGTGCCCTCCTCCCGCCACCGCCCCCGCCGCCGGGCCGCCCAGGACGTGGCTGACTTCGAGTGGGTGATGTGGTTCACCTCCTTCCGCAACGTCATCCTCTTCGCCCTCTGCGGACATGTGCTCTTTGCCAAGCTGTGCACCATGGTCACCCCCCAGGTGAGCTGAGGCGGAGCCCCCCGTGGCCAGGGTGGCCGGAAAGCCCCTGGGCCCGACGGAGCCTCCTCCCTGTCCTGTCCGCAGCTGCGCTCCTGGATGTATGCGGTGTACGGCGTCCTGGCTGTCATGGGCACCATGGGCCCCTGGTACCTGCTGCTGCTGCTCGGCCACTGTGTGGGCCTCTACATCGTGTCCCTCCTGGGCCAGCCCTGGCTCTGCCTCGGCCTCGGCCTGGCCAGCCTGGCCTCTTTCAAGACTGACCCCCTCACGTCTTGGCAGGTGTGCGCCGGGCGGGACAGGCCGGGATCAGGGAAGGGAAGCCCACTGCCTCCAAGCCCCCTGCAGGCGGCCCCTGCCGGGGGATGTGTCCAGCGTCGGGACCCTGTCTGCGGGGGCAGAGCCGGGCCCCAGGAGGTGGGACCCCCGCGAGCCAGAGCCTGTTCTCTCTCTCCAGAGCGGGTTTGTAACAGGCACTTTTGATCTCCAAGAGGTGCTGTTCCAGGGCGGCAGCAGCTTCACCGTGCTCCGCTGCACCAGCTTCGCGCTGGAGAGCTGCGCGCACCCCAGCCGCCGCTACGCGCTGGCCGACCTGCTCAAGTACAACTTCTACCTGCCCTTCTTCTTCTTCGGGCCCGTCATGACCTTCGACCGCTTCCACGAGCAGGTGAGGCGCAGCCCCAGAGCACGGCGGGGTCCCCCTCAGGAAGGGGCTCCCCAAGTCTCTCAGGTCAGCTGGGATCCCCAGGCAGGGATCACAGGATGGGGACAGCCCTTCCTCCCTAGGACATGCGCCCAGGCCACGACACCCCTGTCATACCGGCCCCCAAGGTGGATGGGCTCCTCTGGCGGCCATGGCGGTGGCCTCAGGCTAAGGACACTGCGCTCCCTCACCCCACCCGACGCGCCCTGCATCCCAGGTGAGCCAGGCGGAGCCGGCCCGGCCCGAGGGAGAGCTGTGGCGCATCCGGGCACAGGCGGGGCTCAGCGTGGTCACGATTGTGGTCGTCGACATCTTCTTCCACTTCTTCTACATCCTCACCATCCCCAGCGACCTCAAGTTTGCCAGCCGCCTCCCAGACAGCGCCCTTGGTGGGTCCCACCAGGGGGCAGGGGCAGGACATGCCCTGCGTACTCTCAGGATGGCACCCAGCACCTAAGGGTGCAGGGGGCTTGCTCTTGCCACATGTGGGGTGTGGCATGCACTCCAGCCTGGCAGCTGGGGCCTGTGCCCAGGAGCCCACCACTTCCCAGGGCTGTGGGGGGTCCCAGAAGATGGGGTGTCCATGGGGTATGTGGGGAGCTGGGAGGGGGCCTCAGGGAGGGCTCCCGGGGGCCAGGGCGGTGACGGCGCCTGTCCCCAGCTGGCTTGGCCTACGCGAACCTGGTGTACGACTGGGTGAAAGCAGCCGTCCTCTTTGGCGTTGTCAACACCGTGGCGCGCCTGGACCACCTGGACCCACCGCGGGCGCCCAAGTGCATCACGGCGCTCTACGTCTTCGGGGAGACGTGAGTGCGGGGGCAGGGCTGGGGCAGGGTGGGGGCAGGGGACCCCACAGCAGACGCTGTCCGCTCAGCTGCCTCTCCCCCGACCAGGCACTTCGACCGGGGCATCAACGACTGGCTGTGCAAGTGAGTGCAGGGGACAGGTGCAGGGCACAAGGAGAGGGGAGGGGGCACGAGGGCCTGGCTCTGGGGAGCGGGGGGTTAGGGACCCAGTGGGCAGCCTGCAGGGACCTGGCCTATCCCCAGAAGGAGGCCCCAGGTCTGTCAGGATGGCCGCTTCCAGCAAGCGCTTCCCTGGAAAATGTCTGCTTGGAGCCTGGGGCACGCTTGTGGGGAGGCAGGCGGGCAGGGCCCTGAGGGTCAGGAAGAAGAGAGGCCAGCTGGGCCCGCGAGGACACTGTCAGAGGGGGACGCAGAGCCAGGGAGGGTGGGGCCGGGAGTGGACAGAGGAGAGGACCAGAGGCCACGTGACATCTGGGAAGCTGAGGAAGACCATCAGGCTCGGGCAGGGACACCCAGGCCGAGGTCTGAGGACCAGCAAGCTGCAGGGAGGATGGACCTGGTGCTCCGGGGGAGGGGACAAGGGGGGAATGGCGGGGGTCAGTGTGGGATATCCTGCCTGACGCAGGAGGTGGGACCCCACTGAGAGACGCACATGTGCAGCAGAGTCGGGGTACAGTGGCCGACACGGGGCATGGGAGGCCCTGCCTGTGAGAGCTTTCGTGCCAGGGAGGGAGCAGCCGGTCCCCCCACACCAGGGAGAGGGACAGTAGGAGACAGGGCTTGCAGCGCTCTGAGATGAGGACTCCCTGGCTGCAGTGGGTGAGGACAGCGCTAAGGAGGCTGAGGCAGGAGGAAAGGATAGAGGGGCCCATGATGGGGAGGACCGAAGAACCGAGCGGGGGGAACTTGGAGTCAGGACGGCTAGGCAGAGCAGAGGTCAGGAAAGGGGCAGGTGTGGGCAAAGCTGGGGTGTGGCCGGGGTGCGGGAGGAGGAGAAACCTCGAAATGAGCAAGCCGTGAGCGCAAGGCTGACTCCTTAGCCGGTCTCCCACGGAGTTTATTTGACACGCGGTTACTGAGCCCCTGCTGTGTGCCAGGTGCCATCCCAGACACTGGGGCAACAGCCGTGAACCTGGCCCTCAGGTGGCCAGGCCCCAGCGGGTAAACTCGGGGCAGGAGGGCTCAGGAGTCAGACCACACGGGGCCACAGCCGGTCACCGGGTCCACGCGTAGATCTGGACGGGGACTTGAGTGAAGGGATGTGGAAGGCGGAGTCCCAAGGCATTGATGATCGTGGGAATGAGGAGCCAAGTGGCTGGCCGAAGCCCCGGGCTGCACAGCTGGGGGTGAGGAGGAGGCCGACGATTCAAAGCTCAGCCAGGCCTGGTGGTGCAGGCCTGTGATCCCAGTGTTCCAGAGGCTGAGGCAGGAGGATGGCTGCAGTGAGAAGCCAGCCCAGGCCGCACAGTGTGGCAGGAAGCCATGGGGGTCACAGGCGTGGCCAAACCTGCTCTTCAAGACCCCCGGGTGCAGTGTTGTGGGGGGAAGCAGGAAGGCCACAGAGGTGCGGCCACGAGGGGCTGCCTGGGCCACGGCGGAGATGGAGGCGGGCGCAGTGGGCAGGACTGAGCGATGTCTTGGCCCAGTGGCGGGCAGGGCTTGCAGCCCGAGCGAGGGCCAAGGAGGTCAGCCACCCTGCGGGAAGCCCGGCGGGGGGCTCGGGTGGGCGAGGCTGTGCACACAGAGACCAGCGAGAGCGCACGAGGCCCGAGGCGGCGATGTGCAGCGGGCACAAGTGCGGGCATCCAAGCCCAGGACAGCGCATGACCTGATGCGGGCACTCGTCTGTACCCGACCCTGCCCTCACCCCATGGCCCACCCGTGCCCCCAGGTACGTGTACGACCACATCGGCGGGGAGCACTCAGCCGTGATCCCAGAGCTGGCGGCCTCCATGGCCACCTTCGCCATCACCACGCTGTGGCTTGGGCCCTGCGACATCGTCTACCTGTGGTCGGTCCTCAACTGCTTCGGCCTCAACTTTGAGCTCTGGGTGCAGAAGCTGGCGGAGCACAGGCCTCTGGCTCAGGTGGAGGTGAGCGGGGCGGGGAGGCGGGGGCAGGAGGGCATGCACAGGGCGCTGGGAGTGCGGGGACTCAGGAGGGCCCTGCTGCTCTCTGGCCTCGCCAGCCACCCGTTGCCCGCTGCCTTGAGCGGCCTCATGGTCCACCCCAGGTATCCAGGCACCAGCTCGGCCTGTGGGCACCACACCACCCCCAGGGCTGGGCCCGACACAGCTGGGCCTGGCTCGTTGCTTGGGCCTCCTCTCTCAGGCCTTGGAATCCCCGTGTTCAGCGAGGGTGAGCCGGCCCGGAACCCCCGAGACGCTCGCACAGCCCAGGCACGAGCAGCCAGGCCAGGCCCCTGAGCGCAGGGCGCTCCTCTGGGCCCTGCCGTGACCCTGCCCGGCCGCCAGGCCTCGCTGTCCGAGCAGATGAGCCGCCGGGTGCGGGGCCTCTTCGGGGCCGCGAACTTCTGGGCCATCGTCATGTACAACCTCGTGAGCCTGAACAGCCTGGAGTTCACTGAGCTGGTGGCCCGGCGCCTGCTGCTCACAGGTGAGGGACGGCACCCACGGCGCGACCTTCTGAGGCAGGGACGCAGCAGGGAGGGCCGCGGGCCGGCCGGGGGGAGCGGTCCCCGGGATGGCGCTGCAGCACCCACGGCCGCACCCCACAGGGTTCCCGCAGACCACGCTGGCCGTCCTGTTCGTCACCTACTGCGGCGTCCAGCTGGTGAAGGAGCGCGAGCGCACCCTGGCCCTGGAGGAGGAGCCGGGGCCGGACAAGGAGAAGCCGGAGTAACGAGGCCGGAGTGGCCAACCCGAGAATAAAGCCTTTTCTACTGCGCCTGCTCTCCCAGCCTCTTCCTGGCGGCCTCCAGCTCCTGTCCCCGCTGGGTGGGGACACTGGGGCCACACGGAGCGGAGGAGACACAGGGCAGCAGGACTGCTTGCCGGTGACTGTCCCCTGGCAGTGGATTCCGGAGCCTGGGCCACTTTATCTCCTCAACAATGCGGACCCACGGGCTTCAGGTGCGCGCGTCGGGGACGCCCCATCTGGCAGGCGGGGACGCCAGCGGCACACAGCGACAGGCTGGGGCGCTGCCCGGATTCCTCCCTGTGGCTCTGGCTCTGGGCACCCAGGGGGGCAGAGGAGGCCTGGTGACCCCGGAGGGGCCAAAGTCCTCACCTCGAGAGCCGGGCTGGCCGTGGCAGCCCTCTGGCCCCACCGTGGGCCCCGGCAGCTCCGCCTCTCCCGGCCTCCTCCCCGAGCCCACAGGGCGCACGGGGTCACATCTTGGTCAGGCGCAGCACATTGAGCCGCACGGGCAGGAAGGTGGCGCCCGCTGCGTAGGCGATCTCCCGCAGGACACCCTCCCACTTCTTCTCCTCCTCGTTGTACCTGGGGCGGGGACAGGGAGCGGACAGGGAGGGCCACTTGTCAGCTGACTGCAGGACGCTGCCCCTCAGACAGGGCTGGCTGCGTGCACTGAACCTGTCTCTGGGAGGTGACCCCTAGCCCAGGCCCAAGCCTGCTCACCTTAGCTCCTCGAACCCCTGAGAAAACACCCCAAGGAAGTGCACCCTGGACTCTAGGAGGAGCCATCCTCTCCAGCGGAGGCCCCTCTCTAAGTCTTGCATATTCAGGGACGAGCGCCTCTCTCCCAGAAGGCCCCCGAAGCGCCCCCTGCGGCACTGGGGATGACGGTTCCGGAACAACCCAGGCATTGGAAACTCCTCCTCTCCCCATGAGGGCCCAGCGGTGGGGAGTAGCTGCTTCCCACACCCGCCTCAGCTTCCCTCCAGACCCGTGACTGGCGGCCACTGGACCACTTCCAATGGTTTGGCCCCTGAGCTGGGGTTGGGGGGCTGTGGGCTGAGCACCCGGCTACTGTCCTGCCCTGGACTCCCCGGAAGGGAGCTCACCGGCCCCCCTCCCTTGCTGGCCCTGAGCCTGGAGGCCAGGACCCCCAGGTGGGGCTCACCTCCAGATGTCGTTGAGCTCTGTGGGGACCAGCTCTCCAGACTCGGTCTCCAGCGTGGCGAAGCCACCGATGGCATAGAGGGTGCCCGCCAGGCTGACCAGGCTGAGGGAGCTGCGCTCCTGCGGGAAGGCCTCAAAGGGTGACCACCTGGGGGTACATGAGCAAGGGACACCTGACCTTCACCCGGGCTGGCCCCACCTCCGCGGTACCCACAACCGCAGCCGACCCTCCTGGGAACCGAAATCCAGACGCCCACATTCCAGCCTTCGGGCTCCCCAGCCCTGCTCCCCTCCCCCGCCCTCAGGTCGCCCACCCCAGCTGCCCAGCACCCAGCCTCTCCTGAACTCCACCTGCCATCAGGCCCAGCACGTCCCCAGCATGCTGGGACGCAGTCCTCAGCTCCGAGGTGGCCCCTGCCCGATGCCCATCCCTCTGTCCCTCGAAGCCTGAGGTTCCCCAGGTGCCTCACTCCCCGGGCTCCAGCAGTGGGGCCCTCGTCCCCACCCCCAAAACTACTGTCACCCACGCATCTCCGACCCGTGTGTCCCACCTGGACCCTCACTTTTGCTATCAAACCCCAGGGACCCCAACAACAAGCCTCTTCCACGAGAGCATCCCGCGGCCTCCCTGCACCCCAACACCTGAGCCATCGCTGGGCCCCTGCTTTTCCGGGGGAGGCTTCTCAGGGGGCTGCCAGCTGTGCGCTCGCAGGCCCCACGCCTGCGTTCTGACCTGGGGTACAGGTCGGCGGGAAGCCTGGCCAAGTGCCCAGCGCCTCCTGCCCTGCCCGCTGCGCCCAGCTCCATGCCTCCCTCTGCACTGCCATAGCGGCACCCATCCCCCGCCCCTGGCCTCCCGGAGACCCCTCACCTGCATCGTAGTTGCTGAGAGCATCTCAGAGAAACCCAGGAGACCCCAGCCCTGCCCACTGGGCAGCCGCCCATCCGGGCTCCGCCCAGGCTCCGCCCCCTGCCTGGCCTCTCCTCCTGGACCTGCCCCGCTCCCCGGCCCGGTGGCACCAGTGCGCCAGGCCTGGCAGCCTCCTCCCACCCTGCTGCAAGTCCAGCAGAGTCCTCTGCCTGGCGGGCGGCCCTCTGCAACCCGGGGGACAGAACCCCGGCCCCGCCCACCCCCTTCGTGTTGGGAGGAGGCCGCAGTGAGCATGTCTGGACTCAAATCCCGGTGGGGGCGTAGGGCACGCTCACTTGTCATCTGCGATGCTGTACACCTCAGCGCTGCTCGTCAGCCCTGTGTCCGTGACCCCCGCGGCCACGACGATGCGGCCGTCGTGCACGGTGGCCCCGAAGAGCGAGCGGGCCGTCTGCATGGGCGCCAGCTCCTTCCACTCAAACTTCTTGGGGTCATAGACACAGGTCTTGTTGAGGCACTTCCTGCAGGGAACAGCAGTGAGTGGAGAGGCTGAAGCAGGGCAGTCTCCCAGGAGCCCAGGCCCGGCCTCACCTGTCACTGCCCTTGCCCCCAATGACATAGACGAGGTCCAGGTGGGACAGCACCGTGTGGCCGTAAACAGGGTAGGGCAGTGGGTCCGACTCGCCCCATTTGAACGATCTGGAAAAGGGTGGGAGGTGGGCGCCGGCTCAGGCGGGGGGCAGGGGCTCAGTGCCCACCTCCAGTTCAGTCCCCCAACGGCTCAGACTTGGGGTGTGCCCTGCTCCCCCCGGGACCTCATGCCCACCCCACTCACAGCCGGTCATAGCACAGCACGGAGTCCAGGCTGTGCTCGCCGTCCTTGAGCTCGCGGCCGCCGACCACGTAGATGGCGTTGAGCGCCTCTCCCAGGCCGAAGAGGCAGCGAGGCGAGGGCAGCGGCGGCATGCCCAGCCACTCCGAGTCCAGGTGGTCGAACTGCGGGCCAAGTGTCCGGTCACCACTGCACTGGCACCACCCTGGCTACCACGACTGTTCGATGCCCGCTGGCCTGGCCCACCGCCCTGGACACTTCGCACTGCCATTCACCCTAAAGCTGCAGTCTGCATCCGGCCACCTCCACTCCCGCGCCAAGGACCAGGCTCACCTTGCCGGGGGCTCCCTGGGGCTCCCGGCGGTGCCCAAGCCACTGCTTCCCTCCACACCACCTCTCCCCACAGGAGAGCAGCGCCCACACTGACCCGAGCGAGCCGGGAACGACCCTGGCCCAGGCCGGCTTTCCCCGACCCTGCAACAGTGCTCGGGCTCCTCCGCTCCGCGGCGAGGGGCACGGCCACCCGGCCTCCGCTTCCCGGAGGTCCGCGTGGACGGCAGGGCTCAGGTCTATGTGCCACCCCTTGAAGTCCTCTCTGCCCCGAGGCGCCACAGCTGCCCCCCCAACTAGGTCTGGCGCCCCCACCCTGCACCCTCCGACCTGGCGTCCCCTGCAATGGGGGCGCCAATGTCACCAGCTCCCTAGCAGCCGCCTCTAACCACCCCACCCCGCCTGCGCGCAGCTGTCAGCGACACCCCCAAGGAGACGTCGGCCCCCTCGGTCCCCCCGGGGCTGGCCCGCACCTGCAGGAAGTAAGCACTCATGGGGTCCTCCTTGTTGTCCTCGTTGTAGAAGAGGCCCCCGGCCACGAAGACCTGGTTCTCCTTGGTGACCAGGCTCACGTGGTTCTTGGGGACCTGTGCGGAAAGGGAGGCGCAGTAGCACTCGTTGGCGACGGGGTCGTAGGCCACCGCGCCCTCCTCGCTGATCATGAAGATGAGGTCCTGCAGGAACATGCCGAAGCGCAGCGTGTCGTTCAGGACGCCGGGCAGCACGCGCTCGGCGGCCTCTCCGTCCTCTTCCTCCGCCGCCGGCGCCCGGGCCCGGGCCTCTTCCGGGGCGGCACTCTGCTCCGCCCCCTTCTCCTGGCCCTGGTCCCGCCTCTTCCGGCGCAGCGTGGTCACGCGGCCCTCGTGCGCGTCCTTCACCATCTGCACCTTGCGCAGCAGCTCGGGCTGGGCGCGCACCAGCGGGTGCCGCGCCACGCGGGTCTCCAGGAAGGCGCGCGGCAGCAGGCGAAAGCGCACGCTCTCGAACACCGTGGGCAGCGCGCGCTGGCGCTCGGCGCGGGCCTCAGCGTCGCCGCTCTCCGCCCAGCGCATCACCGCCTCGAACACCGCCTCCTCCTTCTCCACGTTGAGGCCGTCGCTGGAGATGATGGCGATGAGCTCGTCCGCCGAGAGCCCCAGGAAGTCGGCGTCGCGCGCCACCAGCGAGAAGCGCGCGCAGATGAAGTCGCGCGCGGCCACGGCCAGGCGCGCGCAGTCCAGCAGGAGGCCGAGGCGGAACACGGCCAGGCAGTTGGCGAGGCACAGGCGCTTCTGCAGGAAGGACACGCAGATGGTGAAGATGGACGGGATCTGGAAGCGGTGCGCCGCGGCGAACAGGTCCTGCACGCTCGCCTCGTCCAGCGCGATCTCCGACGTGTACAGGTAGTGCAGCACCTGGCCCACCACGTCTGGCGACACCTCCTCCAGGCGCACCTCGCCTGCGCTCTCGGGCTCGGCCAGGAAGCGCGCGCGGAAATAGGGGCTGCAGGCGGCCAGCACCAGGCGGTGGCACGGGAACTCGCGCTCCCCCGCGCGCACCACGCAGTCCAGAAACTTGCCGTGGTCCAGCATGTCCTTGAGCCCGTCCTGCAGCAGCGTTTGCTGGTATAGCCGCTGCTCTTCTGCCTGCTCCAAGCCCAGCGCCATGGTGGGTGCCTTGGAGTGCAGCGAAGGTGCCAAGCGTACCCTAGGGTGCGGCGATGGTGCCGGGGCTCCTCTCTGCACCCCTGCTTCCCTGCCGGCCCGCGCTCAGTCTGCGCAGCTGTCCCCGCGGCGCTATATATAGAGGGGTCTGTAAGATGAGCCACCGGGCTTCCCGCGCAGGACACTGGGGACAGCTGAGCGAGGCCCCTCCCGGCGCAGCCTTGACTCAGCCCATGGGCTGGAGGGCGAGGGTGAACAGTGGGGCCCTCCCTGCTCCCCTTCCAAGTGGACCGGTGAGGCTTTCCTCAACCCCGGCTCCCTGGTGGGGGGTACCCCTGGGGTAGAGGGAGCCCAAGCCCCGCCCTTCCTGCCTTCGGGACTGTGTGGCTCCCCCGTGGAGTCTGGCTTCCCACTCAGAGCTGCACCGCGGCAGTCACTCCTGAGCCCTCTGTTGCAACCCTTAAAATGGGAAGCCCTTTTCCTCTCCCCCAGTTCTGACACTCCTCCGAAGGAAGCCCATGGGTGACCAAGGCCACCACTACCCTGAGGGGCCTGGAGCAGGGCGTGTCACTTTTTCAAGCCTCAGTTTACCCTTGCACACCCGGAGGAGGTGCAGGAGCTGACTCCAAGGACCCCAGCTGGGCTCTGCTGATATTTGAGGACACTGCGGTGTCGTGTCCCTAGGGTGTGTACCCTGACGGACGTGTCAGCCCTGCTAGAAATTTACCTTCCTAGGATCCTACTGTTCAAGGTGTTCAGAACCGCAGGTTTTAGCAGCCTGGGGCAGTGACGTTCTGAACCCCAGTGTCCAAAACTCAACCCTGTAAGGTTCCAGGGCTCCGGCTGTGCCCATGGTCCTTGGTCCACATGGGTGTTGGTGTGTGACTGACCGGCCTGTCTGTGATCTCAGGATCAGAGTGGAGGCCCAGGACAGTCAGTCTTGGTGCCCACCCTGCCCTGGACTCTTGCCCCCAACACGCACACATACACACACACACACACACACACCAGCCTTGGCCACCAAAATTAACTTGTTCCCAAAGTGCCAGCAGCCGCAGCTGTGGGTTAAATTTAGCCCCCGAACACTGGTATGAACTATTATGGGGTACTCCCCGATCCGTCCTCTGAGTCACTTGTTTGTAACTGTGGTGTGTCTCTGGAACAGGAGAGAGGACCTCAGGCTGGGCCAGCACTGTGTCATCTCTCCTTTTGTGGTTCCAGCACTGTCACTGCCTGTCTCTCTAGAGCAATGCACCTGGCCATCACCCCCACACCTCACCAGCAGTCTTAGGGGTGCACCCTGGGTGGGCCCTGACCAGGCCCTGCTCACTTTGCCTTTCAAAAGTGCTGGAGCCCCCAGGAGCTGAATGGAGGGCTCCCAGCCCCGCCCCACGTGCAGGGTCCCTCTAGCAGACCTAAGACTCAACTCCAAGAGGTGTCTCGGTGTAAGCACATCTGTCACACACGCACAGGCCCACCAGGACTGAAAGCTGCTCTGCCCAGCCCTCCGACCTTGCTCCGCCCGGAGAATGCCAGAAACGTCCAGCACTTAGTCTCGTTTTCGCAAGACCCAGAGAGAAGCTTGACAGAAGGGTTTGTTTATATCTCCCGGATGACTGGTGAGGTATTTTTAGGTGATGCCGGAGCCCACAGAGCTCACTGCCTCCACGCATCCCCCGAGAATGCGTGTACGTGGCTCCTCCACCTGCCGAGAACCCACCGCACGCTGTTCAGAATGCCGAGTCTTCGGCATGAGCAAACTGGGCAGGAATTTCTGCCTTCAGGGCGCTGATGGAGCGGGCAGACGAGGGGTTGTAGGAGACATCAGAGGACAGGGACTGCTTTGGACACAAGGGAAGCAGAGCAGGGGTCCCGGGAGGTGATGGGCAGAGCCGGAAGGGTTTCCAGAGGTGCCATCCGGATGGACTCTCCAAAAGGGTGACCCTCGAGCAGGCTCTGGCCACATAGTATTTCAGGCAGGCACAGTGTGAGCAAAGGCCCTGAGGCAGGAGCGCTGGTATGCACTGGAGAACAAACAAGGCCCTGAGCAGATCAGTGGAGTACGAGCTTATACAGGGAAGCCACTGTTTATTTTTTAGTTATAGTTATGGAAAATACAGCACAAGAGTAGAGACTAGTATTGCAGCCTCTCTTACGACCACCACCCCACCGCAGTAACCCTTAGGCCACTGCTAGGGGTTAAATGCTGCCCACCTTACGGCTCAGGTGTGGTGGTGGAGGTGGTGGCTGAGTGGGGGCCCTTAGGTCATTGGGCTCCCCCAGGAGTGGATTAAGTGGGTTCCCATGGGACCTCGGGTAGAGCCAGGAGAAGGTTGGCATCCAAGCCTGAGCCAGCCCCTGCTGTGCCCCTGGCCCCCTGGGCTAAGATGTGATTTCCTGACTCCACACCTGTGTGTTCCATGGCCTCGCACCCTGAGGGGACGCAGCCGCGGATCTCACCAGAGCCGAGCCGCTGTGGGCGCCGTGCGCTTGAGCGCTGGAATGGAGAGCTCAGTGAGCCTCTTCCTGCTGAGGCGCTGGCCTCGGGCTTCGTCACAGGAGTAAATGCTGTCACGTAGCCGTGCCGTCCTGTGCGGCAGACGCCTGTCACATTTGGTGGCCTCTTCGCATCCCCTGCACAGTCCTGCTGCGTTTCAAACAGTTCCCACCTCGGTGGTCCTGCCCTGAGGTAGAAAGTTGACCTTGTCTTTCTGCCTCCCTGAGAACACAGACTCCTGCGGAGCGCCTTGCCCTGTATGAGCCCAGCCGCCCAGACTTCCGCTCAGAAAAGGCAGCAGGAAGGGACGGAGTTCACGTCTTGGCAAAGAGAGCGGAGGGACAGCACGGCTGACACTGCTGGCAGCCGCTTTCCCAGGTCCACTGCCCTGGCCGTGGGCTCTGTCCCCCCGGCTGAGGCCTGGCCACTGTTAGGCTGTGTGGCCCGAGGTCCTGACTCTGGGACCCCCCTGAAGACTGTAGCCCCACAGTTTGCTGCTAACAAGGCTGCGTGGTAGAGAGGCTCACAACCTAAGCCGTCCAGGCAGCAGGCATGGAGGCGGGGCTCGGGCAGCTGAGGGCCTCCCTGATGTCTGCTTGCTTCTCGGCTGACTTCTGGGCTGAAGGTGGCCAGGCTTCAGAAAGCCCAGAGGCCAGAAGTGTTCTCATGTGACACAGAGAAAGAACTCCGGGGATTTAGGGAAGCAGCCCTGTCAGAAAGGATCTACTGTGCGTGTCACTTGCACTCATCCGCGTGCATTTGCTGAGGGCCCAGCGGGCGCATCGCCCGGCCCTGAGGAATCCAGGAACGTGGGCCGCCTTGACAGGTGCCGTGATGGCCAAGGGTACGGGTGGGGCCATCTGCCTTTGAGGAGCTGCCCTGAGTTCAGGGAGCATAAGCAGCTCTGAGAGGCAGCAGAGGCCCAGCAGCAGCTCGTAAGCACCAAAGTCAAGATGGGGAATGTTACTGCAGCCGTCCACGGCGCTGGCATGTGGTACCGAGCCCTGGCCTTGGGGATCTTAGAGGGCCGTTAGTGGGTCCCGGGTGTCATAGGAACAGAACAGATGGGTGGGTGCCCTACCAGAGTTGCGTGGATTCCCCTGCCGGGTCTGGATTTGCCTCTGTTGCCTGCCACACTTCTGCTCACCCCGCCATCCGTGGACTTCATGCTTTTCTTCCTTTCATGGACCCCACTCAGCAGTGCCTTTGACCCAGCATCTCACCTGACAGCAGTAGAGCTGAGCCTTCTAGCCGATCGTAGCAGATTAAATATATGCATTTCCTTTGCTCCTCCCTGAAGCTTTATTGCAGTGAAAGTACAGGAATTTTAAAAATCTACATCACTAACAGAGCCGAGTATGTATCACCCTCTACAGAGAGCAGTAGCACCGTGCGTTCTGGAAAGGAGGTCTCAGAAGTCTCGGGCTGTGGTCAGGAGGCCCAAACACAGAAAGGCTATGGTGGAAGGGTGGTGGGAGGAGCTGGCACTGAGGAGGGCTGCTCATATGCTGGCACCCCGGAAGCAGGGAGAAGGAAGGAACCAGAGGACATCCACACAGGTCACGCCCCTAGTACCCCACCTCTAACCAGGCTTCACTGCATAACAGCAAGTCAGTTATCAACTCACGAGGGGCCTAATCCACTGATGAATGTAGTACCCCCGTGACCCACTCACCTTCCAAACACGTGAGGACTGGGAAGACACTGCAGGTCTAACCCATAACGCTGCCAGAAAAGGCCTAGAGCTGGCAGCACCAAATACATTTGAATGTATGGAAGAAGGCTGAAGAGGGGAGGATTGGTTGTCGGATTCCTTAAGAAGCAGTTAGACACAAAGAACACCGGTACCACCTGGGGAGAAACCAAAGGTTTAATATCTGAAGAAGACACATCAGAGCTCTTGACGGAGGGATGCCCAGCAGAGTGAAGGGATGGCCCACAGGAAAACTGAGTAAGAGCGGCTCTCTATGCTAAGTGGAGAGGTCCTACTCCCACCTGGCAACCAGAAGGCTAGCTGCCCAGCCATACCTTCCCAACGGGGAACTGAAACTGGCGGGTCTGCCGGCCCCAGAGGAAAGTGAAGTATCAGCAACCAAGGACTTGTAGAAAGCTGCCTGGCCAGACTGTCTGAAGTGAAGCTCTCCTATTAATTCTCTTCATGTATGCTGAGTTTCCAATGTTCCACTTGTTAAAATGGTTGAAGGGACAATTCATGACTTGAACAAGACACTGTACAACTCTATGAAAATAATGAAATCAAAGCATAACTCTTAAAAGGTGGCAAGAGAATGGTGAATTGGTTTTGGAGCATGAAAAGGAGCAACTCAGCATCAGGGTGTCTTATGTGTTCCACAAAAGACAATGCTCTGGGCCGGGTGGCTGTGACCCCTAAGCCTAGCAACAGAAGGCCGCCCACAGAGGCTCGCCTGTCTCACAGATTGGGCAGGAGCACCTCTGACAACTCCAGGCAAGTACCACCAGCAAGGGGCACCAATGAGGAGCTCCACCAACAATCAGTAGCCAGGGCAAGCCGGGCGTGGTGGTGCGTGCCTGTAATCCCAGCACTTGAGAGGCTGAGGCAGGAGGATCATTGCGAGTTTGAGACCACCATGGGCTACAAAGTGAGC